GAAAACATTTGTATAGTTAAGATATAAAACTTTTGACATAAGTGTTTCAATGTCATGAACTCTTATAGAACCACTATATAATAGTCTAGCAGATATACTATCCCAGTCTATATATTCTGCTTTTTTCAAAACCTCTCTCACAATATTTTTCTTATCTAATGGTATACGTTCCATCTTACCTATAGGTATCTTTTCTTTTAACTCTTTCAATATATTGTTTGTGTCTGGAATATGTTTGAGACGGTCCATATAGTTGTCGAAGTCATTGCATATAATCTTTGAGTCTGGGAATATTATATGACATAAATGGGATATATAGAAACTTCCACCGAACAAATCTACAAATGTTAGACCATTCGGTAGTTTCTTAAGTTCTCTCAATATAATATCTTTACATCTACTCTTATTTCCAAAGAACGGTAACGGTGGTTTTGTAAAATTCATTTATATATAATAATAAAAATGTTTTTACCCGAAAAGTGACAGAAAAGTGACAAAACATTTACGATGAAGAAGTCTTGACAAAGCATATACGATGAAGAAGTCTTGACAAAGCATATACGAAGAAGTCATGAAAATTCAAGAGGTTAGAAAAGAGGTTAGAAAAGAGGTTAGATCTAACCTTCTACCCTAAACATTATTTTTTGGTCCTTTACACTCATTACGAAGAAGTCTTGACAAAACATTTACGATGAAGAAGTCTTGACAAAACATTTACGATGAAGAAGTCTTGACAAAACATTTACGATGAAGAAGTCTTGACAAAACATTTACGAAGAAATCATGAAAATTCAAGAGGTTAGAAAAGAGGTTAGAAAAGAGGTTAGATCTAACCTTCTACCCTAAACATTATTTTTTGGTCCTTTACGCTCATTACGAAGAAGTCTTGACAAAACATGAAAACATATATAATTTGTGAAAAGTGTTGTCAGTTTTGTAAAATAACCGTCCTATCTCATTCTATAAGGGGAAAAAGGCTGGTCGGCTGGGGCTCCGGTCCTCCTCTTGGGTCTTGTGCAAAATTTCTTATGGGCTAGAAGGCACGAAGTGCCTGGAGGCCCATCCCAAGAAAAAAAAAAAAAAACATTTATACTAATCATCTTCAGGGCTAGAAGGCACGAAGTGCCTGGAGGCCCCACTACCTTTTTTTTTTTTTTTATTTTTCAGAAGATTTCATTCTATATGCCTATGAAAAGTACTCTCAAAACTAACTTTTTCCTAATTATAATTAAATCTAGAATATTGTATTATGCTTAGTATTATTTCATTTGTTGTAAACAGAAATTCATCAAAAGTGACACCTCAGAAAAGCTAAAATATTGAATTTTTGGAACTTTTGATAGAGCACGTTTTTAAATATTAATTAAAGTAAATGTATATTTTGTAAAGATTCTTTTTAATAAAAAATAAAATTTTGAAGAAGAACACAAAATCTTCTGAAAAATAATATCACATAAACTCATATTATTTTCTAATATATAACTATTTTATATAAAAATCAAATTCAATGATCTTAAAAGCGAAGGATAAACCTCAAAATTTACGAATATAATGAGTGGGAATATAATGCTTATCTATCATAAAACCATATGAAATATTAATTTTTGCTTTACGCCTAATTTTTGACGACAATTAGCAAAAAATGTTAAATGTTAACACTCAGTCCATTTGAATATGAAAAATAAAATTGACTTTGATTAAATGTTTTTTTTATCATGCAATTCTTCTTGCGACCAAAGATTTGAATAAAAGTTCAAAAAATAAGATAGCTTAAAAAATAATATACGGTAGTGTTTACTAATAGATGAATAGTATATAAATTCTATTAAAATGGATTTGATCCAAAAAAATATAAAACCAAAAATAATTGTTATAATTTAAATGAAGAAGTAATTTAAAACGATTTTATTTATGATCAAATTTTATATATTTTTTTGGATCAAATCCATTTTAATAGAATTTATATACTATTCATCTATTAGTAAACACTACCGTATATTATTTTTTAAGCTATCTTATTTTTTGAACTTTTATTCAAATCTTTGGTCGCAAGAAGAATTGCATGATAAATAAAAACATTTAATCAAAGTCAATTTTATTTTTCATATTCAAATGGACTGAGTGTTAACATTTAACATTTTTTGCTAATTGTCGTCAAAAATTAGGCGTAAAGCAAAAATTAATATTTCATATGGTTTTATGATAGATAAGCATTATATTCCCACTCATTATATTCGTAAATTTTGAGGTTTATCCTTCGCTTTTAAGATCATTGAATTTGATTTTTATATAAAATAGTTATATCTTAGAAAATAATATGAGTTTATGTGATATTATTTTTCAGAAGATTTCATTCTATATGCCTATGAAAAGTACTCTCAAAACTAACTTTTTCCTAATTATAATTAAATCTAGAATATTGTATTATGCTTAGTATTATTTCATTTTTCTCATTCAATTTAGAATTTACAAATGTCAAAAAATTGAGAGCTGTCACTTTTGATGAATTTCTGTTTATTACACATTTTTCTCATTCAATTTAGAATTTACAAATGTCAAAAAATTGAGAGCTGTCACTTTTGATGAATTTCTGTTTATTACATTAATTCGATTTTTTGATTGAATGTAAAAAAATTGAAGATTGTTCATTCAATTTTTGAATGATAAAGTCATTTCAAGAGCCTTGTACCGATAAACTAGCCTTGTACTGCCATTTTATGGTGATGTAAAGTATTCAAAAAATTTGCAATGTAAACCATTACATGGCAGAAACTTTAAAATAAACAAAAACATGACACTTAGTACAGGGGCTTTTTGGCTGGTGAAGTCAGATAAAACGTGGCTCAAGTGCTCGTTTAAAATTAAAAATGGAATTTCTCACAGTCGAATTTCTTGGTAGACAACAAAAGTTTATCATCAATTGTCGCGCCGAAGGTATGACATATAGTCAAACTAAGCTTGCATGGGAGGAAGAATACCCAGATCTCGGAACTTTAACATCCAATCTCATTGCTACTGCACTTAAAAGAGCTGCATTAGGTCTATACTGGGAAAAAGGGAATCATGGCGGTGCAGATCCATACCTATGCGAGCGTGATCAGCTCACTTTAAAAGAAATTATCGAAGATTCTGCTTACAAAGGTGAAGCTCTAGAAGCAGCTGACATTATTGACGAGGCGTTCAAGTTGAAAGAGCTCAGAAGAGATTATGGTTACAGATTCCTTCTTGAGATTAATTGTCCTACTCTTGCAGAAGAAGTTATCAATACTCTTGGTGGTGATGATGTATCGAGACCTTATGTTAACCGTATTTTACAGCAATTGCATTGCAAGCTTAAGGCATGCCAAGAGATTGAAGAATCAAGATACATGGCGTGTGAACCAAGAATTATCGAAGAATTCTACGATAAACATCGTGAAACAATCGAAAGTACTCCAGAGGAGTTGATTTTTAGTATCGATGAAACATTCATAAACAAATTTAAGAAGAAGAAAGTTGCATTACCTGAGGAGATAGAGCATATGATCGCCAAAGGAATTCCAAACTTTCCGCACATTACAGCTTTATGCGGATGCTCAATGACAGGCAAATCTGTCCCACCTCTCTTTGTTCTCCCATGTATTGCAGAACTACCTAGAGAACTGAAAGTATTCCAGCGCGAAAGACATTGTTGGTTTACTTCTACGCCAAAAGGCTGGGTGAACAGAAGTGTATTCTTATTGTATTGCATTTTCTTCATCGAGTGGCTTAACTTTGAACGCCAGAGAATGCCAGAAGATATACGTGACAAGCCTGCTCTCATTGTGTGTGATGGACACTCCAGCCGCGAGAATCCTCTGGCATTGTTCCTTTTGGCAAGTGCCAACATCAAATTAATTGTTCTTCCCGCACATACAACACACATTTTACAAGTATTTGATGTTGGCATTGCCAAAAGATTAAAGTCCAAATTCACGGATTATCTGAGAGATTACATTAAGGCACCGAAGCAAGAGTTCAACAGCAATGCTGCAATGATGCGCTACGCCATTATCTACTCATTTATTAGCGCATGGCAAGAATCAGTATCATTAAGAACGGTTCAAAATGCTGCTGCCGCCTGCGGTCTTTGCCCTTGTTCTGTAGAAGCTCTCAAACATAATAAGTATGTTCGTGAATTGACTCCTGCAGAAAAAGAATTGCAAGAGAAAAGAAATTACCGTAATCGAAATCGTTTTAACATCAATGGTGAAGAATTGACGACGATGGACATGATTTGCGCAATTTCTGACAATATTAAGAAGAATCCTGCAAATCACAGATTTTGCAGGAAGCCAGAACAAGACACCAAGGAACGTTTCTACTTTTGGATTACAAACTATCTTGATCCCAGCATTGAGTTGTTGACAAAACTCCCTAATATGCCAGGTTATAGTCCAAATGATTAGGAAAATTTTCCAATTTTCCAACAAAAATTTTCCAATTCTCCACCAAAAATTTTTTAATAAAATATTATTTTACGGCATTGCCTGTCACTTTTTTCGGTACAAGGCTAATATCACGGTATAAATTTTATGAAAAGTTTGAAGACATAAAATATCCATATTTCAGGATCACTCACTCTATACACTATATAATTTGGGAGCCATAAAAATTTTATTCAACTCGGTGAGAATTTCCATTAAAAAAATCTAATAACCTCACAATATAAGCATGTCGTTGTTTATCAGAGGGATAAAAATTGCATTCGAGCATTAAATAAATTAAAAAATCTATAAAATGGTAAAATTTGAAAATTAAAAAAAAAAGAAGTTCTATGAGAATATATTGGTATGAAATATGTATGTTGTTCTGCTCAAAATGTCATTTTTACAGTGATATTTATCCTATCCTTGTTTGTAATTTTGAATTCAAAATTTTTTTTAGATATCGACATCATTATATGAAATACAATAATTTTAAGATGATATTTATCAAAAAGTTTAATAAACAATACAAAATATTAAAAATAATAAATATAATTAAGAAAGTTCAAAAGAAACCGCGCATTCATTAATAGCCAATAATATTCTTTCTCTCATTACTTCAATGCATGAATATTGAGGCAATTTGAAGTAGTTTGTACAAGTCATTACGCTTGGCAACGTTTCATCAGGAGATTGACCGCCTTCTGTTATTCTCTTTGCTATTGTCAGCTTTGGTTCAAGTCCTGCCAATCCTTTTACAGGTAAATGTGCACATCCAGTAACAAATCTGACGAATTTCGAAAAAGTTTCTCTGTCAAAAGTCGGAATCAGCTTTACGAACATCTCTATCTCAGGGGACTTCATGTCGTATCCATGCTCCACTACGATATTGTTCCTGAGATAGTCCTCAGTGACTTTCATGTCGATGCCATTGATCAAAAATAAAAATTCATTTTCACTAAAAAGTGACAAAGAATTAAATTGCAAATTTTTGTTGAATCCATCGAGAAAAGATTGAAGTTTTTCACGCATTTTATTACCGCACGTGAAATCCTTGACTAGTCTAACATAATCATCAACATTCTGCTCGTTAACTTCGATGGATTCCCCTGCATCAACCATTTTTATTTCTGGATGTCCAGGGTAACAAAAATCGAGTCCGAAAAGTCCGTCTTTTACTTCAAGAGACCTTCCAAGCATCGGATCTACTTCCATGATAGATACTTCTTGCCCGCGAAGGAGTTTGAAGAAAGAAGGATTCAACGGCAAGTCTAAAAGTCGATTGTGAGAAATCGATTTTGACAAAAAACCTCCGAAAAATTCCAAATCTTTTTCAGAAGCAGCGAAAGAAGGGAAAAGTCCGCATTCGTCATTTTCCCTTCTCCACAGATAGATATTCTTGTTTGAAGCGAGCTCCACTGAGAAATCCGTGTAGAAAGCCTTTGTAGGGCCATCTCCAATTCCTTTCTCTCCTTCGAACAAAATATCCAGGAAAAACTGTGAAGCAGACATTCTGTTGAACACTTCCTTGCCTTTCTTGTATAAATACGGCCTGTCAACAATGATTCGATGCCTCAGAAAGTCAGTAATAAGCGATTGGTCTGACTTTGAATCGAATTTCGTTGACAATTCCCTACAAGAAAGTAAAGGATGGTTTGCAACACTTCTGAATGCGGCCATTCTGTCTTCCAAAGGAAACATCGATGGCATGGAGTAGACAAGTCTGATCGCTGGCTCAAACATCATCAATGTACATAGTGGTGATGAAAATTTCGAGGTAATTTCTATGGAAAATGAAGTGTTGACGATAGAAACGTCTGGTCGCTTGGAAGAGATGGCGGAAAGGAGATCTAATGCACGGGTAAGCTCGCTGGACTCGAATTTCTGGATGGTGAAGGGATATCGTGGACTTTCTTGCTCAATAATCTTCAAAGTTATATTTGATGAGCGTAACATGTGAATGGCGGGACAAACAACGGATAGAGCGAATGTTACGGTATCGTATGCACTGAACGTGTAGTTGTCAATAGCAAAGGAACACTTGGAATAGCCATCAACGTTATATGCGCGACAAATCAAGGCAAATATCTCATGGTTGGCTGATAAAGAGTCCGCATCGATGAATTCTGATAGGTAGTAGTCAGTTTGAATGAGAGTTTTCAGTTTTGTCATCAAAGATTTTTTGGAATTCATGTTATACCAGCCTTCTACCCATAGGAATGAAGATGTGAGTGGAACATTCAGGTTCCTCTGGTTTGTGTTCATTTTCAGCTTGAAATTCATCACTTTTTGGCTGAATGCTCCAAATGAAGAGATTTTTAAGGGATCTTTCTCAGAAGGAATGCTGTAGTACTGAATAACACCAAATGCTAAGTCAACTATTGGCGAAAGATCAACTTTTCCTGAGATTCCAGCTAAAATCATATTTTTTACCTTGTCAAGTAGAGAAGATTTCAAAAATTCATACGGCATCATATGGTTCTTGCGAATATACTCAACAATCTCCTTCATATCTTGTGAATAAGCGATCATTGCCGGTGCATAAATTTCTACCGGTTTTGACTCGTTTATTTTACGTAGCATTTCATTGTAAAACTGAGCTTGTGTCGTATGTACGTGAACTGACTCGAGAATTGGAACTATTCCAGATCTATGAGCTATTTGTTTGTCAGGGAAGCTGTAAACGACGCAGGCAACGTAAGGGGCGGCTTTAGATGTTCGAGCAAGTCTTAGTAATGCTCCGATTAATTCAGAAGTATGTTGTATCGGTGTAATGGTCGAAATTGCGCCTAAAAGCGAAACTGCGTGTACTTCGTGGAATATATTGCCTATTGTTAAGTATGAGATTAATGCTTGGATGATTGGTTTAGTATCTTTGACGCATGTATAAGATTTTCCCGACCAAATCGATTTTGGAAGCTTTGGTTGGGGTAGAAGTATTTGTATGAGCTTGAGGATGTTACTTGCTATTGTTGCATTCGACAAACACGCATTGCATGTGAGTAATTGACTAAAATTCGGAGTTTTTTCAACAAAATAACGTAAAACGCTAGAATCTTTTGCTGCATTGTATAATATAGACGAATACCCAATGGATGGTGTTATTTCCGGTGAAGAAACGATTAAGTTTGGTAAAAAAGACAAAACTGAGTAAGGAACTGATTGAGGCGACGAAGAGTTAAGCATTTGTTGGAATGCTCTTGATGCTGAGTTCCTTAGGCTTTGGTCTTCATCACTCATGTATTTTATGATGATATGGTAGTATTCAATCGAATTTGATATTAAATGCTCTTGTGCGAGGAATGCAACGGCCTGTAGAGCTCTCCTTTGTTCTATTATTGACACTTTTGGCATTATTTCGAAGAAAATCATTGTCTTAAAGTGTCGAATGAAATCAAACGGAGTTTCCATAGCGTAAGTGCATAATATGTTTAAATAATTCTCGAGTAATTGCTGTGATTTGACTTTTGGCATTGTTTGTTTTAAATTATCTATTAAGCCGTAATTGGATAAAATTTTTATTGCTTGGCCATGAAAAGTTAAGAGATGCATCATGCACTGGGTGGCAAGAATTGCGACATCTTCGGACCTAAACTGGCCCAAAATTGAATTTAACGCTTCTGCAAATTGATCGATATTTATATACGCGTAAATATCTTCACTTGCGAAAATAAACATTTCACTCAGAACTTGGAGTCCATCAAAAAGAGTTTCAGGCTTCTTTATCCGATTTAAAACATTGAGAAAAGCATTTTTGGATAAAGTTACAGCCATGAAAAATTTTGAGCATAAAATTTTAAGAGAAATATGTAAAAATCGATGATTCGTTTCATATTTCGTACAATACTGCTGGAATATAGTGGATTCGATTTTCCAAAATTTTTTTGAAAATCAACATATAAATTGCAAATTCAAGAAAATTATTCTTAAAAATGGGAAAATAGAATTTTTTTGGAAATTCAAAAACGAAAAATATCATTTAAAATTATTGTTCTTATGATATATCTTCTGAAATTATTAGTAAATTCAAAGATTATGATTCCGATGAAAATACTCATATTAAATTCGTCTTTGGGAATATGAATTCTGAAGAGCTATATCTAAGCAATTTAATTCATGCATAATCTTTTCAGAATTATTCAAGAATAAAAAAAATCCAATGTTTATCAGTAAAAATTGTAGTTTATTCATATATCTCTAAGTGAAAATCGTAAATAGTTACTAGAAATATGGCTTATAATGGACATTGAACGATTGTTGATCGTAATTTCCCAAAATTCTTCAAATTATTTTTTTGTAACCAGTAATTTATTGTAAGTAAATGAAATGTTAAATCTAGTACTGGTAACTGGGAAAGAATTGTTTAGTTTTTTTCTTGGTAAATTTGGTATTTTTTTGTGATTTGAGATAACTCTGAAATCTGTAGTTCAAAGCGACTTCAAAACCAAACTGTATCATGAATAAACGAGTAATATGAAATTCTAAAGTTTATAACATTTTTGAAAATTATTAGTCTAAATCTGAGACCAATATTCATATAAATGTAACTTACAAACATATGTAATATCTTAGTCGCTGTCATCATCTGCGTTTTTCTTCTTTTTTGTTGTTTTAGAGTTTTCTTTCAGTTGAGCTCTATATTCCTTTAGATGATCAAGAAGAGAAGTCTTTCTGCAGTAAAGAAGAAAGTCTTCATCTTGAATTTGTTTCCTTTTTGCATGTTTCATAAAGAATACGAGTTCTCTTGGGATATGGTCCTTCAATAGCGTATATACTAATCCAGTTAAAGCAGAAACCATTTCATGAGAAGGTACTTTTGGAGATAATTGCTGCTCAACAATTTTTCCTGTGAAAAATCGAAGAGCGTTCAGCAAATCCTTTTCAGGACCTGGAAGATCCATTTTTGTTTCATCCATACCATTCAAAAATCTTTGTAAAGCATGATAATCTTCCATTTTATTTTTTTTTTCTAAAAAAAAATTATAAAAAGGTGACTGTATAAGGAAGAAAAAAGTGACAGTCTTTGTCGATGTTGAGTTTCCAAGATACAGAGGCAAAGCTTGCTGAACTCGACAGTATCGAGAAAGGCTGGGAAGAGGAGAGGAAACAAATGGAAGAAACCATAAAGCAATATAATAAAGCTAAAGAAGATTTCTTCCTAAAAAAGCCAGATTTACTGGCACAAATCAAAGCTCTTCAAAAGGAACTTGAAGAGTTACAGAAAAATTCTCCACCTCCCCAGGAAACTCCGAAATCCGAAGAAAAACCAGCAGAAAATCAAGCGAATACTCAACAAAATACACAACAGAACACAAATCCACCACAAGAAATACAGCCACCCAAATCAGAGCCGGTTGTTGCTCCTCAGCCTCAACCAGTTCCAGAAACTCCAAAAATTCCAGAAAAAGTTGAAGATAAAGTTCTTAAAGACATTCAAATCGAGGCTCCAAAAACTGCGAAAAAGGGCAAGAAGCCTCTCAAAAAGAAATCATCGAAATCAAAGGAGTCTTCCGCTGCAACAGAGTCCGATCCATCTAAATTCGAGTACGGACTCAAATATACTCTTGCTCATCATGTCGATACCATTCGTTCCATTGTTTTCCATCCGACATTGCCATTACTTGCTTCTGCAAGCGACGACGGAACAATTCGTTTTACAAATGTACTTTTTAAGATTCCTAAGCGCGTTGCTTCTCCAAAACAGTACATGAGCATAAGAGTGAAAGACGTTCCCATTCTCGCGATGGCAACAAAAGGAAATTCTTTATATACTGGCGCCGTAGACGGCCTTGTTCAGCAATTCGATTTTGGGCGCGGCGATGAGGATATTTTTGCAGTCCACGGTAAGGCGGACCATCATTTACTGAACTTTTTCGAAGCTGGCGATGCGATATGGTCAATCGCGGCCCATGAAAAGTCCTCGTATATTGTAGCTGTATGTGCAGACAAATCTATTAGACTACTCGATTCTACTACTCTTGAACAGAAAAATTCAATTCCGACAGATTCTCCACCTACATCAGCAGCTTTTGATGAAAACGGCGAAAGCTACGCTGTAGGATGCCAAGATGGAACTATACTGATAATGAAAGGCCCAGATTTACAAGAGAAAAAGAAATTTGATTCTTTTATTTATTCGATTACTAGATATAATGATACATTTGCTGTAGGTTTCGAGAATGGCAAGATAGCCTTTCTCGATGGCGCAGATGAAATACAGGCCCACAATGAAGCTGTAACTTCAATGTGCACCTTGGGCCCGGCTCTGATCTCCGGTAGCAACGACTGCTTCGTGAAAGCGTTCATAGATGGTGAACAAAAGCTCGCTGAGAGGGTCTCCGAAAAGAAATTCGCTGAGGGAGTCTTAGCGGTAGCTTCTTCTGATACAATGTTTGTAGCGGCAACATCTGATGGTTATCTGAAGGTTTTTGTCAAAGCCAAATAATATTTTTTTTATTATTAAAAATCGTCTTTTTTTTCTTAATCATTTTTAAATTTCTCATAACTAGTACTATCTAGAATATTCATTAAATCATATTCATTTGTTTTATATACAAACATTCAACTAGATAAGTCCTTATTTAATATCAGTCTATGCATAATACCAATTGCATTATAATTACTGTAGAAGATATATTCAACACATAGCATCTATGTATAATAAAATCTCACTGATCTGAAATTTCGATCTCATTAGACTGCGAAGAAACTAAAAAAATTTGGATTTTTAATAAATTCAGAGATTCAATGAGTTATAATAGAGAGTTGAAGGATGTTCAGACATATCTTACATACCCTCAAATTTTTACTTTTTCAATTTCCCTGAGATCAAAAATTTGATTATAACCGAGTCAGATTTTAGCATTTGTTCATTATAGTATTACCATTATAAAGGTTCTTTGATATCCTATACTTCCATATCAATGTTGGTTTCTATTGTATTTCAAATGGTATTTCAATTTTGCCAAAATTGAATTAAACACAAATTGATATTAATCCAAATCGTATATATATGCTATATTTTCATTTTTAGCAAAAATTACAATTTCAATTTCTGTTGGTAATTATGAAAGTAAGTTTCTTATATAAGGGATTGGATTCAATTTTATGCATATGATAGTAAAATATAGTTGCACTTCAAGCTTTTCCAAGTTTCCAGCTTGCTTAATTCTATCAAACAACATACTTTTCATCGATAATAAAGTTCTAAAAAACTATTGAATTAAATTTCATGTAAATATTAATAAAAAATTAGTATTTTAATTAGTTATCATTATATCAAGATATGTTCTCCCTTTTACATCTCTAGCATTGACATCGGCACCATGCTCGATAAGATAATTCATTAATTCATTCTTTCGGTTATATGCTGTATAATGAAGAGCAGTTTGATCATCATAATCTGTTACATTGATATTTGCACCATGCTCAATTAGTAAAATTGCAATTTTAGTGCTACCGTTCAGAGCTGCATCATGAAGAGCAGTGCACTTGTTTTCAGCACGCATATTGACATTTGCACCTTGTGAAACAAGATATTGCGCGATGTCAAAATTATTACTCTTTGCAACATAATTAAGTGCAGTTTCCCCATATCCATCAATTGCATTTATATTGGCACCATGGGAAATCAAGGTTTCAACCAAATCTTTATTATCATTATCAACTGCGTAATGAAGGGCAGTTTTCATAAAAAGGTCTCTTGCATCCAATTTTATACCATGCGAAATAAGAAGTTTGGCAGCATCAATACATCTAGGCAAAGTTGCAAGATGAAGCGCAGTTTTTCTTTCATATTCCCTTGCATTTATATCAGGATCATGTTCAAGTAGGAGTCCAACGAGTTTACTATTACCAATTTCTGATGCTTTATGAAGTAAAGTTCGGTTTTTTTCATCTTTAAGATGGATTCTGGATCCATTCGAAATGAGAAGTTCAGCCAGCTTGAGATTACCACGTTGGATAGCATAATGAAGTGCGATTTTATTTGTTTCACCATGCTTGTTGACGTTAGCACCATGAGTAATTAGAAATTCTGCTAGATCAGTGTTATTTTTTAATGCTGCGTAAAGAAGAGGAGTCATTTTTTTATTATCTTTTAGGTCCAAATTTGCACCATGCGAAATGAGTAGTTTTGCTATTTGTTTTGTGGATCGAGTTTTGCACCATGCAAAAGAAGAATTTCTATTCCTTCTAAAAATGAATCATTTACTGCTTGATGCAGACAAGTATTCCTTGTATATTTTTCTTTTATGTTAACATTTGCACCATGGGATAAAATTAATTCAATCATATCAATATTCCTTTTTTCGAATAAATAATGCAAAATGGCCTTGCCAGCTTTTCCTTTTCTTGAATTAACGTTTACACCATGTAAAAGAAGAAGTTCAGTGATTTCTTTATTATTAAATAGCACTGCCGTACGAATTGCATTTTCTCCTTCATAAGAGTTTAGATTAACATTTATACCATGATTAATGATGATTTCTACTAAATTTTTATCATTTTTCGATACGGCATATTGAAGCGGGTTCGATTTATTTGAATCTTGTTTAGTTGGATCCGCACCATGTGAAAGAAGAACTTCTGCAATATCTTTTTGATTTTTATATACAGCAAGATGAAGCGGAGACATCATATTCCTATCTTGTTTATTTGGATCCGCACCATGAGAAAGAAGAAGATCTACCATTTCTTTGTAATCAAATATTGTTGCCCAATGTAATGCAGTTTCCATATCTTCATTTTCATTTGAATTAACATCTGCACCATGCATAATTAGAAGTTTGGCAACATCAAGGCTATTGTGTGATGCAGCTTCATCTAATGGATTACTTCCACCACAATCATTAATTTCAGCACCATACGAAATTAGAAGTTCTGCAATTTCTTTGTTGTTATTTGTTGCTGCACAATAAAGGGCAGTCTTCCCACCAATACCTAGAAAATTAATATCGATTGGAAACTTATCTAATGATTCCAATATAAATTTGACGATATTAATATTATTAAATTTAACTGCATAATGAAGAATATAACTACGATCAGTAGTATTCGACAAGTTTAAATCTTCTGTTTTGATAAGATCAAGAGTTTGAGAAAATCCAGCGCACCATGGAATAATAGAGTTTTTATCCTTTTCATACATTAGAAAGACTGCTTTCAGGTTTTGTGCATAGATTAATTCTTCAAAATTAAAATATTGCAATTCATAAAGATCTCTATCGAATATATATTTGAGGAAATTGTTGTTGTGAGATGCAACAATATAATCAAAGCATGCGCTATCGATTTCGTAATGCTTCAAACATTCATTGATAATGTCAGTGTTTCCGCCAATTAATGAGAGTTGGAAACATTTTTGAGTTATTTCACAATGAAAATTTGAAATAAGGAAATTGAAAATGTTGGCAGAGCCATAGTAAGCACATGCTTCAAGGAGGCGAATGTTAGAATAGAGAGGTATATTAATTTCGATGTCATCTAATGGATTTTGAGTAGTATATTCTTTGAATTTATCAATTTGGTCATACATGATAAAGTATTTAACGTCATCTTCTTTCGGAAATGAATTTACTGTTAATTTAATCTGAAAAATATTATCAGCGTCACGTACTAACTCCAAATTACAATGGGCGAGATAATCTGTTAATGGGTCATCAGGTAATCGAGTAATTGAGTATTTTGTAAGTATTTTATTGAGTATTTGAACATAAATATCAATGGACCTATAGTTGTATTTAATCGCTACAGCCAAACTTAAAATGAGATCCGAGATTCGTACTTGATATTTTGAAATTAAGACAGTTATCACCAGATTATAAACATCTTCGATGGATTCATCGGATTTTATGTGGAAAATTTTCTCATATGCCCCGATAAACTCTTCATACTGTTTCAAATACTTTGAACACATTAAATTTTTTTGTTGAATTTATAACATTAGAAATAATATCTATGATATACAACCAGTATAAATAATTTATCAGTCAATATTATTAATGATGCTTGCAATCGGTAAATGAAATTTTTTGCATTTTAGTGTTTGCACAGCTTTTTGATTATCACATGAACATGAATGTTCGGAAAGATAAAAGCTTGTAAAAGATTTTGAGTTTCTAATGATAAAAATCGTAGACTTTTTTTTATATAAAACCAAGGTTTTACTAGGAAATTATCTATTGTAATGAGCATTTTTGTACATCAACCTGATCTGCTCCACGCGAAAGAAGTATTTCGGCAATTTCCTTTCTGTCCTTTTTTAAGGCATAGTAGAGAGGCGTCTTCTCTTTGTTATCTTTGGCATTTATATCAGCTCCATTAGAAATAAGAAGCTCAACTGTTTCGATGCAATTATTCATTGCTGCATAATGAAGTGGTGTTTTTCTTTTCAATTCAATTGCGTTGACATCAGCAGCATGGGAAATAAGGAGAAAAGCAATTTCTTTATAATTTTTCTGAGCAGCAATATGAAGAGCTGTAAATCCTTTTTTATCATTTGCATTAATATCTCCAGCATTTGAAATGAGTAGATCTGCTGTTTCTATACAATTATTTTCAGCGGCATAATGAAGTGCAGTTTTTCCATATTTATCTCTTGTCATGACTAAAAGTCCATTTGTAATTAAAATTTCTGCTGTATCTTTACTATTACCTTCTGCCGCAAAATACAGAGCTGTTTGCATATCTTTATTTGTAGCATTGATATCAACTTTATTTGATATGAGAAGTTCAGCAGTTTCTTTGCTATTAAATAATGCAGCTAAATGAAGAGGAGTATCTCCACCATGAGTTTTTGCATTTTTATAGTCTCGATGCGATAAAAGAATTTCGGCACATATTTTACTATTACCAATTGCTGCAAAATGAAGTGCAGTAAGACCATAATATGAAAATTCTGGCTGAATAATGGCATGATGAGAGAGCAAAATTTCAAGCGCTTCTTTACTATTTGCTTGTGCTGCAATAAAAAGAGGAGTACGTCCATCTGAATCTGTTGCTTCCATATCAACTCCATTATCGATAAGAAGTTTCAAGGTTTCAATACAATTCTTTGATGCACTATAATGCAGTGGTGTTCTTCCCAGATCATCTTTTTTATTTAGATATGCTTCATATGAAATAAGAAGATCTGCAATTTCCAAATTGTTACAATTTGCTGCCCAATGAAGAGGACGCATTTTGTGTTTATCTTTTGCATTAATATTTGCACCATTAGCAATTAAAATTTTTGCTGCTTCCTTGCTATTTTTAGTTGCAGCAATATGAAGTGGAGTATTTCCTTCATTATCTTTTGAATTGACATCTAAACCATGTGAAATAAGGAATTCTGTTATTTCTTTGCAATTATATTTTGCAGCATGGAAGAGAGCATTTTGTCCTTCATCATCTTTGGTTTTGATATCTGCACCAAGAGAAATAAAATATTCGCATAGAGATGGAATATTGAAACAAACAGATACAAGAAAACAATTGTTAATATCATTAGTGTGATCTATTAACACTAAAAATGCTTGTAGATTATGGTAAGTACTACAATTGGATAAATCAATTTCGATATTGTGCTCGTTCATTAGGAATGTAACAAAATCAATATTGTGTGATATAATTGCATATTCCATGCATTCTTTGTCTGGTTGAACTGCTTTCAGGCATTCACTCATGATGTCTGCATTTCCACTTAAAAATGAAAATTGAAGACATGTTTTCGTGATTTCTGATTTGAATTTAGTGATCAATAACTTGAAACAATCAACAGATCCGTGATAACAACATATTTCAAGTAATGAATATCCATATTTAGGATCTGGATAAAAATCACTATTTAATTTTTGATCTTTATCGAAATCATCTCTCTCTGTGAATGCGATGAATGATTCTCTATCATTATCCATGATAGCTCTGTAAATAGTTTTTTCTTCATGAACATTTATTGAATAATTTTTTGTTTCGATTTCTTCCCTTTATTTGATATTAATATCATTCAATGCAATAACACAATCCTTAACAAGAAAGTACAAAAAGACAACTGGTATTTCGATCGTTTGTATCGGATGATACTTTTGGAATATCTTTTTATAAATTTCATAAAATGAACGGAAATATTTATTTTTGTATTTTGATGCTACACTTATCATTTTCAAAATTTGATTTGGAGAATATTTCATAGTGTTAATTAATTTTTTTTCGATATCTTGATAAATTTTTGAAATATCTTCATCCTCGGATGTATTTATCTTGTAAATAGCTGTTATGGCATCAATTGTATCTTTATTTATATCCATTAGTTCGTCATATTTACAATTCATTATTTGTAAAATTCTGTGAAAAATTTGACTTTCGATCATAAATAAAATCAGCTCGAAAACTTAGATTAAAGAAAAATAAAAGAAAAGGAGTCAGTTTAATACAATTGATAAATCCATAAAATAATTCTTGATTTCAAAAAAAGTTGAATAAATTTCATATTTTTTAGAACTTTCACATTGGCACAGTGCGAAATGAATTGTGATACAGTTGTATGACTATTTTTCTTTTCTATAGTTTGCTGTTTCAATGATATTATGAATTTGAGAAACCAAAACAGATTATTTTTTAATGGTTACTCTCGCGAATAAATATGTTGATAATCCGTAATATTACTTTAAAAATAATTCATGTTTTATGTAAGAAGAATTGGCTGATAAAAATATTTATCATTACAATGCACATTTTTCTGCATTAGTTGCTTCTGCACCATGCAAAATAAGAATTTCAGCTGCTTCTTTATTATGTTTCTTTGTAGCATAATATAGCGCCGTTTCACCTTTATTATCTTTTTCATTTGTATTTGCTCCATGGGAAATAAGAAGCTCTATAGTTTCAGCGCTATTTTGCATTGCAACAATATGAAGTGCAGTTTCTCCTTCAATATCTTTCGAATTGACATCTGCTCCATTAGACATTAGAAGTTCCGCAATTTCAAATGCATTTTTCATTGCAGCGTAATGAAGAGCTGTAAATCCGTTTTTATCATTCGAATTGACATCTACTCCATGTAAAATAAGAAGTTCAATTAATTCTTTACTTTTATTTTCTGCTGCACTATGCAAGGCAATTTTCCCATCTTTGTCTCGCGTAATCGTATATATTCCATGCGAAATAAAAAGTTCTGCTATTTCTTTGCTATTATTCTCTGCGGCAATATGAAGAGCAGTTTTTCCATCTTCATTTCTAGCATTTAATTCTGCGCCTCTTGAAATAAAAAATTCTGCCGTTTCGGTACAATTTTTCATTGCAGCATGATGAAGTACATTCATTCCAGAATTATCAAGTGATTTGATATTCGCACCATGTGATAATAAATATTCAGCAATTTCTTTCCTATTAAAATATGCTGCGCAATGAAGAGAAGTTACCCCGCTCAATGTATTTCTTATATTGACATTGGCTCCATGGGAAATAAGAAATTCAACAAAATCTTTTTTATTTTTTCCTATTGCAAGTAATAGTGGCGAAAATCCAGCATCATCTTGGGCTTCTATATAAGCACCATCTGCAATAAGGAGTTCAGCTGTTTCTTTGCATTCTTGTAAAATTGAAAAATGAAGAGGAGTTCTTCCTTTTTTGTTTTTTGCATTCACATCCATGCCATATGAAATCAAAAGATCTGCAGTTTCTGTGCAATTGAAACCTGCAGCAATATGAAGAGGAAAACTTCCTTTCGAATCTTTTGCTTTGATATTTGCACCATGAGAAATAAGAACTTTTGCAGCTTCTTTAGCGTTACTCGATGAAGCATAAAAAATGGGTGTTAATCCTTTGTTATCCTTTAAATTTACATCCAAGCCACTAGAAATAAGATATTCAGTCATTTCTTTATAATTTGACCTGACAGCTAAATGAAGAGCTGTTTTCCCACCATTATCCTTGTATTTGATATCTGCTCCATGAGAAAGAAAATATTGGCTAAAAGATGGAATGTTAAATGATACAGATAGAATGAAACAAACATTAACATCATCAATTTGATCTAATAATACCAACAATGCTTGAAGATTATGATACATATAGCAGGAATCCATATCAATTATAATTCGATGTTCGTTTCTCAAGAATGTAACGAAATCAATGTTGTGTGATATAATTGCATATTCCATGCATTCTTTGTCTGGTTGAACTGCTTTCAGGCATTCACTCATGATGTCTGCATTTCCGCTTAAAAATGAAAATTGAAGACATGTTTTCGTGATTTCTGATTTGAATTTAGTGATCAATAACTTGAAACAATCAACAGATCCATGATAACAACATATTTCAAGTAATGAATATCCATATTTAGGATCTGGATAAAAATCACTATTTAATTTTTGATCTTTGTCGAAATCATCTCTCTCTGTGAATGCGATGAATGATTCTCTATCATTATCCATGATAGCTCTGTAAATAGTTTTTTCTTCATGAACATTTATTGAATAATTTTTTGTTTCGATTTCTTCCCTTTATTTGATATTAATATCATTCAATGCAATGACACAATCCTTAACAAGAAAGTACAAAAAGACCACTGGTATTTCATTTATCTTAATTGGATGATATTTTTGGAAAATCTTTTTATAAATTTCGTAATATGAACAGAAATATTTATTTTTGTATTTTGGTGCTACACTTATCATTTTTAAAATCTGTTTTGGAGAATATATCAATGCATCAATTATTTTTTTTTCGATATCTTGATAAATTCTTGTAATATCTTCTTCATCGTTTGTTCCTATCTTGTAAATAGCATTCAAAACATCAATTGTATCTTTATTCATATCCATTAGCTCGCTATATTTACTTTTCATTATTGATAAAATTCTGTGAAAATTTTGACTTTCGATCATAAATAAAATCAACTCGAAAACCAAAACTTAGGAAAAACGAAGAAAAAAGAATTAATTTAATATTAGTAATAAATTTATAAAATAATTCGTGATTTCAAAAAAAAGATGAATTAAATTTCACACTTCTTAAGAACTTTCTCTTTGGCACCGTGTGAAATGAGTAATGATGCAATTGCATGGCTGTTCTTCCTTTCTGCTAACTGAAGAACTGTTTCTTTTTCTTTACTTTTTGCATTGATATCTGCACCATGCAATATAAGCAACTCTGCTGTTTCTTGACTATTGTTTATTGCTGTAAGATGTAGTGGTATCAACTTATTTTTCATTCTGGCATTAACATTTGCACCATGAGAAATAAGTATTTTAATAATCTCTTTGCATTTTTTCCATGCAGCTTTATGAAGTGGTGTTTGCTTTTTCTTATCTTTGGCTTCAATATTTGCACCATGGGAAATAAGAAATTCTGTTGTTTCCTTACTATTAGTAAACGCTGCAAAGTGGAGAGCTGTTTCTTTTTTGTTATTTTTTGCATTAATGTCTGCTCCATTTGAAATGAGAAGTTCAATAGTTGCTTTGCTATTATTACAAGCTCCACAATGAAGGGCTGTCCATCCGTTTACATCTTTCGATTTGATATTAATGCCTTGCATTATGAGAAATTCTGCAGTTTCTTTATTATTATAATATGCAGCATCATGGAGAGCATCATATCCATAATATATGTTCTTTGTATTGACATCAAGACCATTTAATATTAGTAAGGCTATTACTTCTTTGCTGTTTTTCCTTGCAGCATAATGAATTACGGATTGCCCAAATTTGTCGATTGCTTTGACATTTGCTCCATGTAAAATAAGAAGTTCAGCTGTTTCTTTACTGTTTTTTCCTGCGGCATAATAAAGCGGAGTTCTTTGATTTTTATCTTTTGCATCAATTTTTGCACCGTGCGAAATAAGGAATTCTGTTGCTTCTTTACTATTGTAAAATCCTGCATCATGAAGTGGTGTATTTTTATGGAGTCTATTTTTGACATTGACATCGACACCTTTTGATAATAGAAGTTCCATTATCTCGATGCTATTCTTCCTTGCAGCATAATGAAGAATTGTTTGTCCAGATTCATCATTTGCACTGATTAACGCACCATGCGCAATTAAAATATCAGCGGTTTCCTTGCTGTTTTTTCCAGCAGCATAAAAAAGTGGAGTTTTCCCAATTTTATCTCTGGCATTGACATCAGCACCATGTGCAATGAGAAGTTCAGCTGTTTCTTTACTATTAAGTTGGGCGGCACAATGAAGTGCTGTTTCTCCGCGAAAAGAATTTTTTTCATTAATATCGGCCCCATTTAATATAAGGAAATCAACTGTTTCAGGACAGTTATAAAATGCAGCTGCATGGAGAGCGGTGCCATTGCCATTATTCTTAGCATTGATATCTGCTCCGTGTGAGAGGAAATACTTACAAATTGATGGGATATTAAAGCATGCTGAGAAAATAATACGAAAGTTTATATCTTCCGTTTGATCCAACAATACCAAGAATGCTTGAAGATTATGATAGGTACAACAGAAATATACATCAATTCCTATGTTATATTCATTCATCAAAAAAGTAACAAAATCAATGTTATGTGATGCAATTGCATACTTCATACATTCTTTGTCCGGCATTTGGTATTTCAAGCATTCACTCATGATATCTGGATTTCCACCCAAAAAAGAGAATTGAAGGCATTTTGATGTGATTTCTGAACTGTATTTTGTTCTTAATAGCTTAAAGCAATTGACAGCACCATAGTAGCAACATAATTCAAGCAATGAATATCCAGTTTCTGAATCGGGATAGAAATAGCTTTTGAGTCTTTGAGCTTTGTTAAAATCGTCTCTCTCAGTGAAGTATATGAATGAATCTTTGTCATCTTCCATGATTGCTTTGTAAATCGTTTTTCTGGGATAGACACATGGTGCTCTGCGTGCATCATTCTCTTCTTCCTTTGGAGGGCATTCAGCAGTACTATATTCCATATTTAGAAAGTCTTTGTAAAGATCAGATTTCTTGTTAATTTGCATTGGACCGAATTTTTCATAGATCATTTTGAAAATCTTCCAGTATGAACGAAAGTATCTGTTTCTACATACTGTTGCATTTTGTATTGCTTCCAGAACTTGCTCTGGTGTGTATATCTTCGTATCAATCAGATTTCTTTCGATACTGTGATAAATATTTTCGATTTCTTTCTCATTGGTTGAGTTTATTCGATATAGAGCTGTAATCGCGTCATGCACATCTTTGGTTATGTCCATTAGGTCACTATAGCAGCTGTCTGGCATAGTTTGATTGTTGTAGCAATGAAATTGAATAAAAAATCATAACGCATAATTTCAGGAAAATCATAACACATAATTTAAGTTTTCAATCAAATTTGGGCTAAAATGGTGTTAAGATGTATTAAATATAGCAAAATAATACCATTTTACATACTCCCATTAAATACTCAAAATTGAGAACCTCACAGAATTATGAGCATTTGATGGGCATCTTGCTGCAAAATCAAATTAAATAAATTTTATCTGCTGGAGAACCTTTCATTCGAAAAACTCCGAGAATCTGATTATTTTTTTGTCAAAAAATAATAAAATCCGCAACATATGATGTAGATCAATAATAATGATTTTTCATTATAATTTATAACTTTCATCATATTTACGTTTCTTTCTGACAAAAAAGAAAAACAATTCCAAATCCAGTCAATATCATTGCACTATAATTATGACAACTTATTTATAATTTGGGTTAAATTTGAATTAAACTGAAAATATCTTTCTTGAATGGGAAAATAATTGCGTCATTATATTTAAATATGTCCTATTATTCCTAAAATGATGAAACATTCAAATATCAAAACCGAAAAACACAATGAACACAGTGTCAAGAATAATTTAAACTTCGATTCGATATTAATCATTTTACTAATGAATTTTTAAATGTTTCAACAAGTATTAACTAAATAATTTTGTCCGAGCGAGTTAAGTACTCATTGTGTCCAATTCATTTGATTCGCAATTAGATCAAATAACTATATGTACTTTATGAAAGAGGACATATTTAGATAATGTATTTTAGGTAATCGGTAAATGATTTCAACTAATCAAACTAATTAGGCCAATCAAATAAAAACAAAAATAATATCAAACGAAAATGAGGACATTATATTCTGCATCTCTGCAAATCATTGAAATTCGGCTTAGATGGATTGCGAGTTCTTAAAATGTCAGATGCTGTAATATTTCGAATATCCTTTGCATTGACGTCTGCACCATGAGCAATAAGAAGATTATAAATTTGATGACTGCCTCCCAATGCCGCATAATGAAGAGCTGTACCTCCAAGCTTGTCTTTAGCATTAACATCAGCACCTTTTGCAATAAGGATCTGGGCAATCTGTAGACTTCTTCTAAGGGCGGCATCCATAAGAGGTGTTGTCCCTTCATTAGCTCTGGAATTAATATCTGCACCATGGTTAATGGCAAATTCGGCTAATTCAATACTGTTGCTCTCTGTCGAGTAATTAAGAATTGTATAACCAATATCATCTTTTGCATTAACATCTAAGCCATGGGAAAGGAGAAGATCTAAAGCTTCAATACTGCATGTTTCTGCTGCAGAATGAAGTGGAGTTCTATTATGATTATCAAGAGCTTTAATGTTAGCGCCATGGTTTATAAGAAACTCAATCATGGTAATATTATTCTTTTGTGCTGCAATATGAAGTGGTGTTGCATCATAATAATCTTTGATATTTACATCTGCACCAGCGGAAAGAAGGTATTCTGCCACATTCATACTATTGAACAGTATTGCTGTGTGAAATGGGGTAATTCCCTCTTTATTTCTTGAATTAATATCAAAGCCTTTGGACAAAAGATATTTGACAATTTCTATATTATTTCCCATTGATGCCAACTGGATTGCATCATTTCCTTCTAATGATCTTGCTTTGGTATCGATGCCATGTGAAATAAGAAATTCAACCGACTCTTTGCTGGAGAATAGGGCCGAAAATATAAGAGCATTAAGTCCATTTACCGCTTGTGCATTGATATCAATGCCACGTGAAAGAAGGAATTCAGCTGTTCGAAGATTGTCATATTCAATTGCATTATGAAGAGCAGTGAAACGGAACTTATCAACACTTCTTGCATTGATATCTGCACCACGTGAAAGGAAGTATTCACAAATTGATGGAATATTGAATGATGAAGATTTAATAAAGCAAGAATTGATATCCGTAGTTTGATCTAACAATACAAAGAATGCTTGAAGATTATGATATACCGCGCACATTTTTCCTTCAAGTTCGACATTGTATGTATTCATTAAAAAAGTAACGAAATCAATGTTGTGTGAAATGAGTGCATAATCCATGCATGCTTTGTCTGGTTGAACTACTTTCAGGCATTCACTCATGATGTCTGGATTTCCGCTTAAAAATGAAAAGTGAAGACATTTATTAGTGATTTCTGATTTGAATTTAGTCCTCAATAACTTGAAGCAGTTAACAGATCCATGATATGAGCATAGTTCAAGTAATGAATATCCAGAATTTGAAACTGGATAAAGTACACTTAAAAGTCTTTGATTTTCATCAAATCCATCTGTCTCCGTAAAGTTAATAAATGATACTATGTCATCATTCACGATTGCTTTGTAAATGGTATTATTTTCATGAACTTCCAAGCCTAATTTCTGTGAATCTATATTTCTAAGCTGCTCAAATGTCGAATCAAATGCCAACATACCGTATTCTTTGTATAGATAGTAAATGAATGCAGCAGATGCGTCTTTCATTTGTTCTGGGTGATATTCTACATACACCATTTTGAAAAGTTGCAAATAAGTTTGAAAATACTTATTTCTGCTTGTGCCTGCCTTTTCAATTGCTTGAAGGATCTTGACTGGCGAGAATATCTTCGTGTCAATCAATTTCCTTTTGATATCTTGATAAAGGTTGTTAATTGCATCTTCATCAAAAGTTTTGATGCTGTACAGTTTCGTGGTGACATCGATTATGTCCTTTCCTACACCTTCGAGTTCTTTATATCTGTTGCAAGTCATGATGCTGCTGCTGACTCAACAAAAAATGAAATGATAACGAAAACGTTGGTTTTTGTGATAATTCAAGTGGTGTTAAGTTTTTGAGTTAAATATGAGATCTCAAGTTATTTAGCATGATTGATTGAAGGATAATCAATCACTGTTGTCATGGAAGATTAAATGCTCAAAATTGAGAAGCTCATACAAATATGAGCATTTGATGGGCATCTTGGAATCGCACTGAACCTGATGCATTCCATCTATAATAAGCATGATAATCCGAAAATCTCAAGATTTTACTTTTATTCTTTGCTGAAAATGACAATTTATCATCCACATCCAAAAAACTAAATAAATTTAAGGTATTTAGCCTATTTAGATCCCAAAATGTATCCACGACAAATAAAAGTGACAATTCAAGACTTTTTTGTTGCAGAATAAATGGAACAGCAAAATAACAATAACGACTTAAATAATTGCAACAATGCAGAAGAAGTCCAAGACACAAATGCTAATAATGAAAATGAGCGGAACAATGAACCAAATATTAATAACAACGAAAATCAAATGAATAATGCTGAGTATCAGCCAGAGTTTCATGTTGTTAACATTCAAGAGTTTGCCAATCCTGGTGAATTTCCACAAATTCCAAGTTTTGATCCACATCTTTTCCCAGGAGAGTTTAGAGATCCAATATACATCGATAGTCCAATATTTAGAAATGATCAACTCTGTCCGAACTGCTGCTCTCCTCTTTTACGTAATCATCTTTGTCCCAATTGCAATCAAGTGATATCAAACCCTGTTATGTATTGTTAACTCCATTTACATCACACATATATCATTTTTCCACAATTATATCATTCATCTTTAGTTTTTTTTAAGATTAATTTTTTGTTTGTTTACTTAATACGTTTTCTCATAAACCAATCTCATATAGAGATACTACACTAAAAATATCCCCTATATTGCTTACAGAAAACCATATATTTTTAAAATTTTCTTTGTCTATCTTTCTTCAATGGGAATTGAGCTATTTTACGATGTGAATTGAATGACTTTTTACCTAATATTCTACAAATTTCCATATTAATGTATTTGCGGCAATAACTAATTCTGATATTTCAAATTTCATCTCACAAATCAATTGATAAACCAAAATATGTTCTGCACAATCCTTACGCATGATGTTCATACCATTTTTTCGTGAAGATTTTTAATTTTTTTTGTTTCCTTTAGTTTGTGTACGATCACATGATTATTTAATACATTTCCTCTAAAACATATTTCATTGCGATACAAAACATTGCACAATCATACCTATATCGCTATTTTACATTTTATATTTTTTATGCCAGTCTACAAAAAACAAATTATTCTGGTCCAGAATCATCATTCATCTTTATCACATATTTTTTTGATTGAAATGAGTTGGATGTAAGAATACAATTCTTTTTTTCACCATCAGTCAAATTTTTCAGAATGAAATGTTCATCTTTTGATGTACATTATTAAATATTAACAGAATAAATTAAAATAAAAATTCAACTTTTTATATTAATTTTTTTATGAAAGCATCAGGCATTTTTTCCAAATCATTAGAGAAGATTTTAACCAGTCTATGCAAACCATTTGGGAAATATGCTGATCTTTTACGGTCAAATTCAAAGCAAATTCCTGCATCTTCGGCGTCAAATTTAATTCCATACGGTACTTCAGAATATTTAACAGCTGTTAATGAATACGTTCTTCTAGGAAAAGGCTCTCCAGATGATGCTATTGATGCTGTTTTAGAACTCTTTCCATTTTCGAATAAATGTCCATTATACGCAATTCTTGAAGCTCCAATCTCATCCAATCCAAAAGATCCTATTTATGTGAAAGAATTTACACAGTTAATGGCGGCTGCTTACGTTGCAGACACTGTTGCTCAATTACTCACATTTACAAAGAGTTATAAAGGTGCTGCACTTCTTTCTAATATACTAACATTCACTACATACTCCATTCAGTCACCAAAACCATTCGAAGAGCTCTTGCACGGCTTTTTAATCAAAATAATCAAACAATATTCCGTAATTCTTGGAATCCTTTCAATTGAATCATACCAACAGTGTATTAGTGCGTTTCAGACAGCAATGAAGGTGAAGAAGAACGATACTGTCGTTATTTTTACACTTTTCCAATATCTTCGTCCAGGAAAGAAGATAAACGATCTGATTGGTTATTACGTCAGTTTAGACTCACACTACAAATTTCGCGAGTTCTGGAAGGCCCTGCGCCACGTTGTCCATCAAATCGAAAATGATTGTCCATTAACAAATACAAATCAAAAAGCGCTAGCAGAAATGGTAAAATCCGCCATGAAAAAGACTAATAAGCCATACGCTACAGAAATATCCATTCTTCTCGACATAAAAACGAAAGGATCAGCAGATAAAGTCGAAAATCTCATCAGCAGCGTCAAAGAGATCTTCGATGACCCCAAACTCGGCTGGAGAACAAAACTCTACTGTCTTCTTTACTCTCTACAAGACGGACATATCCATGAAGCAACAACTTTTTGGCAATTTGGAGAAAACAACGGTTTTTACTCGCTAGAATCGGAAACAGCGAGAATCTGGCAACCTACAGCTGATCCTAAGAAACTTTCCAAGTTCTTTGAGAAGTATATTCCTGAATTTATCAATGTTGAACAAGTATATCCGATTATTACCCAGATTTTGCTCAATTTATGCGCAAGATCACTTCATACCATTTGCGATATCATCCCTACATACATTAATTCTATCGGAAAGGACTCACATGTCATTCCTGCCCTTTTGCCAGTTTTATCAACTTTTAATCAGATGCTCAACCAGAACGAGAACTTCCAGGAAGCCATCAAATCGGCCGAGGACTCGAAACAGAGGCTCAGAGAGACATTATCTGTCATTAAAAATCCATTATTAAATTTATTATCCCAAAGTATACCGGATCAATCGAATACGGCCTATCCTCTCCGATCATTGTCAATCTATGAGTGCCCACCGACACTTATTCCTGATTTCCATCCAAAATCAGCCACTGATACAGATAAAATGATTTATTTGCTCGGAAAAAGCGAAGAAAAGATTCAGAAGTTCTACAAACAAATATTTCCACTCAGCAAACCACGCGAAAAGCTGAAAATACAGTCAAATATCGGACATTCTTCAAGTGATCAGGAAAAAGTCATCATCCACTTGATTTGTCTGCTCACACAGATCGCCACTCCATCGGACTTGACATCAAATCCAATGTCCCTGCTCGATCATTTGATTAAATGCAGTATTGGCTCCAGTGCGATTATTTCTTATTTCGCAACTTACGCGATCCAGTTTTTGTTTATCACAAATGCAGCATCTCGTAACGGAGCCCATGAAATACTCATCAAATACCTCAAAACAATGGTCTACAAACCATGTTCTTTCACATTATTGGCTTTGTTGCACCAATTTTTGAGTTTACCGTTCACTCCTTCATTCCAGAATAAACAGTGGACACAGTGGTGGCTGAATAACATCCAAGCGATGCTTTTAATGCAATTGACAACTCCATATATCGAAAACCGCCATTTAGTTTACCTGATTTGGACCAGATTCCAAGAAATTTGCGAGCAGAACAACAACGACATCACTATCTACAGTGAAATTCTTACTTACCAAGATACAATTGCCAGCAGATTACAGACAATACTTGGCCGTAAGGACTTCCCTGTTGTACAGTTCGAAGATATGTGCACGTGCTGTTGCGCACAGCTTGCGGCTCTTTACTTTTCTGAAGTTATGATTATTGCCGCTCAAGAAAAGTACAAAAGCATCATTGAAGTTATCATAGAAGCTAATCCTCTATCAGAGCTTCAAATGGTAAATGACGATAATAAGGTTCACCGCTTTAATTATTCGATTTTACTTTCAATCTTCTTCAGACTACAGTTACTGACCTCAGAACGTATCAATGTCCTCCATGATTCCTATCTATACCTCAAGCGTGGCACATACATCACTGAATACCGTGGTTTAGTCCCACTTTCCGCAGAATCCGTCTCTACGCCATGGAAATCTGACTTCTTACGTAAGAATACACAGGAACTGATCACTTTACGTTCTACCGGAAAGAGCGAATGGTCGCAGGCTTTCCTTCAATCCTTCATTTCGAACGCATCTCCTGCAGCTGTTGCACAAATGATGCAGCTGATGGTCGCATTCATGCAGATGCCTGTCATGCAGCCTGATAAGAAGACAACTTCATATGCTGTTCCATTGACAATTTTCGATTGTTTATTAAGTATCGCGCATTCACCTGATTTCCAGACAATTCTGTTGGCAGGACGATCAGCGTTCCAAGCATCAAACTCCGCTTTGTCTTTGATGACGACAATCGTTACAAAAGACCAAATCCCACAAATTTCAACAAATCCAGAGATCAAAGAGCTTGTTTCTAGATTCCTCAAGCTTGCTGCAGCACTTTGCAGAGCAATGAGACCAGAGAAAACAACAGTTCATGCAATTTCATTACGAATTCCGAAATTATTGAACCTTTCTCACGAATGGTCTTATAATGAGAGAATAATTGTATACGATTACATCGAATCTATCAAGACACGCGTCTCAGACACAACATTACAGGAAACTTGCAGAGAAACAATGTCATTATTGGCTGGAACACCAAATCTGTTCATAAGTGAAGAGAAATTCACAGAGAACAACAGAGAATGGATCTTCGTAAACTCTCCTGATGAGGATCTCGTGATGGCTCTTCGCTTAAATCCTGCAATTTACGATAGATTTGTTCGTGGAGCTCTGTCAAGCGGATCGAAGACGAATCGATACGCAACAGCGTTATTCGCGTTGTATGTAGATGAAATTGATAAGGATCCTTACGCTCCTTCGCCAAATAATGATATCAATATTGAAATCGACCAAGAACAAAACACTAGAGCCTACAATGATCAAGGAAGATTGACAGTATTAGCATTACTCAAGCTTACATCGTTTGATTACAAAGAAAGATTATTAAGTTACAGAGTTTTGCAAAGATTGCTTCCAATTTATTCGGCAATGGCACAGCCTGATAACATGGAAAGCATCGCACTCTTGAATACCCACCTCTTAGAGAATACTGCTGTATATGTTTCCAGGAGTGGCATTCTCAAACCCGACGGTTTATCACAAATTTGTGAAAAAATCTTCTCAAAATTACCATTCTTAGTAAATCCAGTTTCTGATGTGTTATTAGAGCAGATTGAGCATACAAAGGAATCATATGACATGATTTCTCTCCTTACTATTTTCGATCAAATTGCAAAACACATCAAATTACAAGAATGCGGCTTAAACTTCTTGAAGAGGATCTTGAACATCCACAAACAACTTGATTCATCACTAGTTCCAATGTACTGTGATATCTTTGTCTCATTCGGCATGTTAATTCCTGAAAATCGAACTTATTTAGCTGACACATTGTTCTCTTTCACAAACAAGACAAGAAACAATGCTGCTTGTGAGATATTAGTCCATCTAAACCTATCACAACCCGTTGATTACATCTACAGAACGATTCAACCACTGAATTTCCAGTCCTGGTTCTTCAATACTATCATATACTCAGCAGATGAGTCCAGTGATGACAAGGATAACGAGAACTCCAACTCAAATCCTGTCAAATCCAATCCAACGAATCATGTCAGATTATCTCTCAGAATTTTAGAGGAATTGATATTAATTGACATCTCCCATGTAATGACTGTCATCCATTCCTTGATCCACTACTGCCTTATGTACATAGATAAGCCAGATAATCCGGATTTCGACATCATCTCAAATATTATGGAGCAAATTTCACTTAAATTCATCAAGAACCCAGAGGATGGATACAACAAGAACACAAAAGTGTCTTATAACAGTGGCTCTTCCAAATTTACTGATATAAGACAACTTGTTTCGAATTTGTATTCGGCAATCAAGCAGTTCTTGCCTCCTGTTGCATCTTCGTGGCAGAGAGTTGCATTAAATTGGGCTTCTGCCTGCGGAGATTTGGAATTGGCTTCGAAATCTGTTGTAATCCTCACAGAATTAGCTGGAAGTGATGATCCACATGTTTCTATCTTCATGAGATCCTTGGTTACAGTTCTAAAAGCTAAGATTTCCCCAGAAATGTTCCAAAGTGTTTCAAATTACTCTTCAAAGGTCTTGGATTACTTCTACAAGGTCGTCTGCACAAACCTTAGAGGCAAAGATGGATATCCGCTCCAGTCATCTTTCTATATTGCGCAGTTTGCAACTCCATTTATTTATAATTGGCAGAGAGATCCAATTTCAGCCACATCTTCCATTAGGATTCTCACAGAATTTGCTAGAACCCCATCTTTCTTCGGTTCTCAGTTCGATTTGAGAGAGAATTTGAGTGGATTATGCCATCTCTTCAATTTACCAATGGCAACAATCCAAACCTTCCAGTTCTTGAGCACATACATCTCAATTATACCACAGAGCGAACACAAATTAAGGATGGAAACTCTTTTGAACATTTTGCCAATTATTTACGGATCTTTCTGCGCATACCACTGCTTCGAACCATATTCCAGTGGTATTCCTGACGATTTGATCAACTTGGCTTTGGACGCCGGCCAAGTTTTGTCAAATTCCTTCCAAGGAACGAACATTGCCTATATTTTCAACGAATACTTCAGTGATCCTGATAATTCAAGTCCAGAAGAGTTCTTGGAAGCGATTTCTCTCGAAATAAACCACGGAGATATCGATATCCTCGAAAAAGTTGTTCCAAATTGGACGGTCATGGCCGGAAGCGACAATGAGTCAATTTATACAGCTATATTCGCCATGTCTCAGTCCATTTTAGTCACAGCCGAAGAAAATATGAGATCTAAATTAGTTTCTACGTTTGAGCACTTAGTTCTTCGTGCATTGGACAAGGGAACTCTCAGGGCCATGGACTTCCTATTCGTGGTCGCTAAATACAATCCAGGATACAACGGAGATAATTCCCAGAATACTTTGCCAGTAATGAAGCCTCATTCGAAGAATATCGCAGAGGCCCTCAGCCCAATACTCCAAATCCTGCCTGCGAACCAAAGATTCAGCGGAACTGTAAATTTGAACCATTCAAGCGTATTTTTGCCAATGGTTCTCGAAGGAGACTTAATAACAATGAATTTACTCAATGACTCCAATAAATCTAGGTTCCTGCCGTACCAGGATCAGATTGACCACCATAATGAGATTATTAAGTCAAAGGACAGCAGGCAAATAGCAAAGCCAACATTGAATGATGCCCAAACACTGTTCCTACACACGAAAATAAGAATTGATGGAACAGAAATTTCGAAAGACGACGTCAAAGTTGAAAAGACACTTCCACCTGAGTTCTTCATGGTTTACGACCATGAGATACCAAGATTCTTTGAAAGAATCGATTCTTAAGTAACAAAATTAGTTTTTATTTTATTATTTATAAATTTCACGTATATCAAAAAGTTATCAAAATCATTTGGTTTTTAACAAAGTCAAATCTTAATTGAATTCTGTTTGATATGCTATTGACATTTGAACAATGTGAAATAAGAAATTTGCCTATTTCTATATTTTTCTTTTTCATTGACATTTGAACAATGTGAAATAAGAAATTTGCCTATTTCTATATTTTTCTTTTTCATTGACATTTGAACAATGTGAAATAAGAAATTTGCCTATTTCTATATTTTTCTTTTTCATTGACATTTGAACAATGTGAAATAAGTAATTTGCCTATTTCTATATTTATCTTTTTCATTGTCATTTAGTTTTTAACGAAGTCAAATCTTAATTGAATTCTGTTTGATATGCTATTGACATTTGGACTATGTCATATAGAGAAATTTGCTTATTTCATATATATTTTAAACTACTGCTTCATGGAGAGAGGTTATTCCATTTATATATTATTTCAGTGCTTTTTGCATCATATGAAATCCGAATTTTCGAATTATATCTTCGAAGTAATATAAAAAGAAAGAGAAGTATCTGATACAGGGACATTAAATTATGCGCTATATGAAATAAGAAGTTCATCTGTTTCTTTATTATTATCAGCTGCCATATCGAGAGCAATTGTTGCATTTTTATCTTTTTCGTTGATGTTTGCATCATATGGAATAAGGAGCTTAACTATTTCTTTTCTATTTTTGCAATGTTACATAATGAAGAACTGCTTTTCATGTATATCTTTTTCGTTGATATTTTCACCTTGTGTAATAAGAAGTTCAACTGTTTACTTACTTTTATTACTTGTTGCATAATGAAGTGCCGTCTTTCCATATTTATTTTTTTCGTTGACGTTTGGACAATTGAAAATAAGAAGTTTAGCTACTTCTTTCCTATTATTCAATGCTGCGACATGAAGAACTGTTTTTTTTTCATGTATATCTTTTTCATTGATATTTGAGCCTAACGAAGTAAGAAGTTCATCCCTTTCTTTACTATTACAAACTGATGCATAATGAAGAGTAATATTTCCATATTTGTCTTTTTCGTTGATATTTGCTCCATGTGAAATTAGAACTATTGTTATTTCTTTATTCTTTTTATATGTAGTAGTATGAAGAATTTGAGAATCTACAAATAGAGAGAAAGTATTTATGTTTATTGTAATGGGGAATTGTAAAAAGACTTTAAAGAGTCTATATTAAAAAGTGACTTTTTTTTAATACGACCTTTCAATTTATTATCACTTTTTCATCTTTTTTTATGTGATTTGTCTATATAATGTGGGATTGCACATATGATCAGAACTCATTCTTGTGATGATCATATTATGCAATGGGCATACTATTAAAGTTATATAAAAATCAATATTAAGCATTTAGCAATATATTAATGTTTACTATAACAATTAAATTAGATATAATTAGAGTAATATATATATAAAATGGTAATGACTATAATTGAGTTTTGATCAAGATGCTAATTTGAATTAGAATGAATATATCGAATACACATATTTTTATTATTATATATGCGTTATATTGTGTTATTGATGATTATTGTTCAGTAAATATAGTCAGATATCGGATATTTTGCAAATGAAATTAAATTATTAAATGATTAATAGATCAAAATAGGATTTGATGATAGACGTTAGATATATATTATGATAGACTTAGAAATACATGTATTTGGATTCATAATGAAGGTAATTAAACATATTATTTGTTTTTGATATGAAAAGAAGAGTTAGTAACGTTTATAAATTAATATATGGTTACATATTATAGAATTAATATTCAAACTGATAGATAAATGATATTAAGAGTCAAAAATTCAAAGAAATCTTACTTTTTATTATTCAAAATTGAATGTAATAAAATCATATTGAAAATAAATTAAGGATTTTCGACATATTTTTGATATAATATATTATTGAACTCTTTATTGTATTTTTATTGCTTTCAATTTTGAGACAACTTTTGATAAAAAAATCTTTTCAAAATTACTAGATATTTATTTTGTTATTCAAATAATGTTCGTTATAAAATTATTGTATAAAAGTTTGAAGGAGATTTCAAAAATTCATTCCTTATTTAATTTAGTGAGACCTTATGTTATTTAAATAAATCAAACGATAAATTTCCTAATAGGTGTCAAAAGATTAATTCACATCCAAGTCAAATTAGGCGGTAAAAAAGGGAGAGAGGGTCAAAGTTGCTATTTGTCACTTTTCCACAAGAATATAATGGGGAAAAAGTTATCATATAGTTGATCTCATTCACTGAGGTGAGAGATGCATGTAGTGTCATGGGATAAACAGTGGCATTGCTGCTCTAAGTCCTAGGTTTGAGATTCATTGGCTTCATTTTTCTCTTTTTTATTGACGTAAACTATTCAATTTTTGTGTTCTCCATTCAAATTTCAGAATTTTTTTTGCAGATTTCACGCTACATTCGAAGTTACCTTTTGTAACAACCACCACTGCCTACGAAAGACGAAAGTGTGTCACGATTTCACCCGGAAATCCGACGGTTGTTTAAGAGTATGCACTTTTGTCACCTACTCGTAAAAAAGGGGGTTGGCGTCCTAAGGCGTCCTAGTGTAAATTTCTCAAAATTGTGATATTTACATCACATTTTTGAGAGGTTTATGGGCGTCCTAAGGGAAAATTGAATAGCTAGGGCGTCCCGAATTTTCATTCTAAGATTTAAATATATTATATACTTAAGTATAATACAAGCAATATAAAAATTAAATTTTTATTATGTTAACTTATAAGAAATTTTTTTGAATTATCGTTGATTTATTGTAATCTTTCCAGGCTATACTTTTGAAATCAACTTTACCTGTCATACGCATTAATGTAGTAGATGTCCAGGTGTAGCTATTATATCCCAGCAACATTGGTATTTTATCATTGTAAGATATCAAAATGAAGCGTTTTTTCAGATATAATTTTTCGTAAATTTTTCAAAAATAAGATGGTAAAAAAGCCTCGACTTGCTCGAAAAATAACAATTTTTTTACTTGTAAAAATAACCCTTTTACAGCATGGGCAGCTATTCAATCACTATTTCTTTTTCTAAAAGTATATTTTTCAAAAAAAATTAAGATCAAATTCGACAATTTCTTGATGAAAGCAAAAATATTACACATACTTCTAGATGCATGGGATAAAATATGCAATTATTCAATCAATTCGCATGATTTGAAAAAAAAATCTAAATTTGATAAAAATGTAGAAATTTTTTATTTTTAACTTGAGATTCGATTTTTTTGATCCAATTTGTGAATTTTTTTTTGATCGGAATTTCAATTAATTTGTTGATCAAAAATGACCTCACAATGTTTGATCATAAGTGAAGTCATCTTCATGGGTATTTAGAAATTCCAAGAGAAATTGCTTATTTCTCGCAGATGTAATATCTGAGAAAATCGAATTTAAATATTCATAGAAACCCAAATCATTCTCCGGTTCGAATAATTCATCTGTTGCTTTTTCTGTTTTTTCTATGACTTTTAATAATTTGATTAATAAATCTTCATCAGGAAGAATTATTGCTGCATTTGTGATAAAATTCCATATTGAGGTAATATGGCAATAATTACATTTATAAAATGTAATTTTATCCAAAATTTTTTGGTAAATTCGCATAATAGCATTAATATTTGAAGCTGAGATTAAACCTGTGATTACTTCTGTAACTTTTGGAAAATCATCGCAATTTAATATCTCTTTATATTGAATTGAGAAATAAAAAAAATCAAATGGATTCATTTCTTCAATTTCAAGGAGATTGTAAAAATTGATAGAAGTGTTATTGCAACAAATTGTATTTGCAGCAAAAAATATCATTTGCTCGATTCCATTTTTGGAATAAATTTGCTGGAACAATGTTAAATTAAAACAGTTGCTTAATTTTTCTTCATTGTTTTCATAAAAAAGTAACAAGTTTGCAACTGAAATTTCAAAATGAGTAGGTGCCAAAAGTGCTTACTCTTAAACAACCGTCGGATTTCCGGGTGAAATCGTGACACACTTTCGTCTTTCGTAGGCGGTGGTGGTTGTTACAAAAGGTAACTTCGAATGTAGCGTGAAATCTGCAAAAAAAATTCTGAAATTTGAATGGAGAACACAAAAATTGAATAGTTTACGTCAATAAAAAAGAGAAAAATGAAGCCAATGAATCTCAAACCTAGGACTTAGAGCAGCAATGCCACTGTTTATCCCATTACACTACATGCATCTCTCACCTCAGTGAGTGAGATCAACTATATGATAACTTGTTCCCCATTATATTCTTGTGGAAAAGTGACAAATAGCAACTTTGACCCTCTCTCATTTCAAAATTTTGATAATTGCCAGTTATTTCAGTAAATATATATATTTGCTTTTCTTCATCTAAAAATGGCAAATATTGATTTGCAATATTAACTAAAGTTTGGGATAAATTGTTCCAGTTTGATTTTACAATTTGTGAGCACATTATGTAATATGTAAATTTATCCGCTTTGTAGGAATTTAAAATTGTTTGTTGTTCTGTTTCAGTTAAATTACTGAATTTTTCAAGATTAATATTGTGATAAAAAATAGAATCCTTGAAACATTCTGATATCTTTTCAATGTTTAAAACGGATGCTAAAAAATGTAAAAGAACTTCATCAGTCACTGTGATTTTTTTGAAAAATTTATCCCAATTCAAGCATCCAATTGATCTTTCTGTCATTGTACTTATGCATTGATAAAGTTGATTTAATGAATCCGAAGAATAATCATTATGCTTGACTAGTTGAGTTAGTTGATACAGACTGTCGTCAGCCATTTTAAAAAAATGAATAAAATTGTATAGTAAATTATATTTGTGAAATTTGTGACGCTACATTCAATCTAAGACCAATATCTCAAAGAATTCCTCATTTAAGTATTACTTTTCATTGTTTTTTAAAAAATATCTTTGCTTATTTGTTCACTTTTTTGACATTTATTATATGCTTTTTATCATATTTCCGATGATATGAATATATATTCTATATAAGAATGACGCTACATTCAATCTAAGACCAATATCTCAAAGAATTCCTCATTTAAGTATTACTTTTCATTTTTGATTCAATTTTCGAACGGTTTTCGTAAATTTTGCATCATTTCATTTTTTAATGGGAAAATCATCTATATTTAATCAAAAAAGAGCAAACTTTACAGACGAAAATAAAATATTTATCAGGGAACAATCTGATAAATACCAAAAATCAACATCGAGAGATGAAAAAACGAATATAATCAAACAAGTTCTTCAATATTTTAATATTAAATACGCCGAAAATGAATCTAAAGCTGTCAGAAGATATTTTAGTTATATTGCAGTTAAAAATATTCCCGCAGTTACTGGAAAATATCCTGATACAATTGTTCGCAAAGATATGCTTTATTCGCATGATCATACAAATATTATTAATTCAAATAATATTGAACGTTACTACCGTTGCATCGATCATTCTTGTCAAGCACGTTATTTAGTTAAAATTGAGAACAGTTCAGTTTCCGAAGATTTACAAAAGGAACATATACCCGAATGCAGACAATTTAAAAAGTTACAAAATGAAAAAAATGATCTTCATAAATCAATGACTCTGACAGAAATATACAATAAGGCAATGGCAAAATTTTCTGAAGACAACGGCACTTTTCAGCAGATTAAAAAATTTATGACAGAACTTGCTGTTGGTACTGATGAAAACCCATTAATTAAAGATTCATTGGTCAGGGAAGTTTATAATAAGTCCAGAAAATTTTCTGTTGGAGAAAAAATTACAGACGATGAAATTGCTAATTTTTGTTTAATAAATGGCGAGCAGTTTTTCATTGGCCATGATTTTCAAGCAAATTGTGAGACGATGTTTTTTGGTTTTGAGAAGGCAATTCAATTTGCAAAAGAAGCCACAGATTTATTTTGCGATGGAACTTTTAAAATTACACCAAAACATTTTCAAAAAGGACAGATGCTAACAATTATGATTTGTGAACCTTCAACAAATCAATATCTACCACTTTTATTTATATTCATGAAAAACCGCACATTTGAATCTTATAAGAAGGCATTTGAATATATTTTTACTGTCAAGGGTATTCAATTTTCAAAGCTAATTCAAATTCATTGTGATTTTGAAAAGGGAATGATAGAGGCACTTCAACAAATTTTCCCTAAAGTCCGTATAATTGGATGCCTATTTCATTTCAAACAAGCTTTACACAGGAAACTTGTAGCACTTTATACAAAAAATTTCAATACTTTACAAAATTCTTTATTTAAGCTATATTCTATTACTCCATTCATGTCTCATGAAGAATTTGTACTTACAATGCATATAATTAATCAAAATAAAGTTGATTCGATCAAAGATTATATTGATTATTTCAACAAAGTTTGGTTGCCGCACTACAATTTAATATCTCAATATAATAATGCAACTGCAATATTCACTAATGATTGCCTCGAGAGTATGCATTCAGAATTTTCTTCGTTAAAACATCCAAACATTTATGAAGCTATTAAGAAGATATCTCAAATCCAATTAGATAAATATAACGCCATCAAAAATAACCAGAAGATCGAGCGCCATATAAAAACCGTTATCACTGATAGCTACAAAAATTATATTCTTGACTGCTTTCAAAAAGAACTTGAGAAAACAATTTTTTCTATCAAACAATACAACGTAAGTGATCTTTCTTTGGCTCAGAACGAGATTTCTCCATATGGTTCCATAGAATCGAGTTCATTGTTCGAAAATATTCCAGTTCATGATGCAGATATACTCAAATCGATCGATCTAACAGATAAAGATACAATGATCACTAAGTTTATTAATGAAAAAAGAGAAAAAATTATGGCATTATTTAATGAAACATTAAATCATCCAGATTTTAATTCATCCACTCCAATTCAAACTAATTTTGAGCAAGCCGATACAAATCAAGGTTCAGATGCTCCAATTCGCTCCGAAAATTCAAATATTGCAGACTCTACAGATTTAGAACCAGAAAATCAAAACCATCCTTCTACAAATCAAATGTCTAGTAATCTAGAACATAAGCTGGACCTTCTTGATCATATTGAAAAACAATTATCGAAAATGCGCTCGTTATTGGGAATTCTTCCTACTACAAATGCTATTGTTGGGCCGTCAAAACAAGTTTCAGTTAATAGCAAGCAAAATTCTGAAAAAAAATAAGAAAAAATCTTCCATAACAACAAAATCAAACAATAAAAAACAAAATTCATCCGACAATCCTCCTAAACGTAAAGCTCCTATTTCGGAAAGGATTCTCAGCGATAATAACTTATATTTTCAAGTTCATCGAAAGAGATCGAAAAGCAAACGTTCCACATCTACAGAGAAAAAGAATTGATATATGAAGTCTAATTCCTTTTATAACTACTATATTTTTATTCTTATGACTAAAAAATAATATATTATTTAACAATTTTCATTTTTTTCTTTTAACAATTTCGTTTTATTTCCATTTATTGTTAAATGATTTTTAGCATACACCTTTCTTTGTTCATCTTCTAAATACAATTTATTTTTTCTTAGATATAATTCTATTCATTCAATTCGATCGTCATTTTTCAGTACATGATCGTAATTTTCAATTATTGATCGCGATTTTACTTCAGAATTTGTTCGCAATATTGCTTATCAAAATTATATCTCTATTCTCTCATTTCTGTTTAGTCAATATCATTACACTCCTATTGTCTAATAACATGCTATTAATTTTCTTAAAATTAAAAAAAAATATCAACTTTTAAAAACAGAAACTTAACATCCTTAGGTCAATGGATTTTGATGTGAGATACATTTAATCTGTTTTTCTTTTTTTATTTTAAATAATTGAATATTTATAGTTGTTATGGGTCTTACATCATGTAAAACGAATTTTCTTAAAGTAAATTTACTTTTTCTTCAATCTTTCTTACATATTTATTAAAAAAAATTATCCAAAAAAAGATGTTTTAGAATGAAAAAAAAATAGAAAAATCTTCATTTATAGTCTTTCTTGAATGTATATGTTTTGATTTTTTTCTTTTTTAAAAAATTCAATTTCTAGAAAAATCGAGAAAAAATCATTTTCTTCAAAAAAAAAAAAAAAAAAAAAAAAAAAGGTAGTGGGGCTTCCAGGCACTTCGTGCCTTCTAGCCCTGAAGATGTTTAGTATAAATGAAGTTCTTATATACGGGTCTTCCAGGAGCTTTTCACAAATTATATATGTTTTCATGTTTTGTCAAGACTTCTTCGTAAAATCAGACAAAAATATAATTTAGGGTAGAAGGTTATATCTAACCTCTTTTCTAACCTCTTTTCTACCCTCTTGAATTTGTCATGATTTCTTCGTAAAATGTTTTGTCAAGACTTCTTCGTAAAATGTTTTGTCAAGACTTCTTCGTAAAATGTTTTGTCAAGACTTCTTCGTAATGAGTGTAAATGACCAAAAATATAATTTAGGGTAGATGGGTATATCTAACCTCTTTTCTAACCTCTTTTCTACCCTCTTGAATTTGTCAAGACTTCTTCGTAAATGTTTTGTCAAGACTTCTTCGTAAATGTTTTGTCAAGACTTCTTCGTAAATGTTTTGTCAAGACTTCTTCATCGTCAATGAGTGTAAATCAGGCAAAAATATAATTTAGGGTAGATGGGTATATCTAACCTCTTTTCTAACCTCTTTTCTACCCTCTTGAATTTGTCATGAACTTTCTTTACAAAGTCTTTACGATGAAGAACTTTACAAAGTCTCAACAAAACATTGACAAGAAAGTTCATGAGAAAGACTTTACAAAGTCTTTACGATGAAGAACTTTACAAAACATTGACAAGAAAGTTCATGAAAATTCAAGAGGGTAGAAAAGAGGTTAGAAAAGAGGTTAGATATAACCTTCTACCCTAAATTATATTTTTGGTCATTTACAAAGTCTTTACGATGAAGAACTTTACAAAGTCTCAACAAAACATTGACAAGAAAGTTCATGAGAAAGACTTTACAAAGTCTTTACGATGAAGAACTTTACAAAACATTGACAAGAAAGTTCATGAAAATTCAAGAGGGTAGAAAAGAGGTTAGAAAAGAGGTTAGATATAACCTTCTACCCTAAATTATATTTTTGGTCATTTACAAAGTCTTTACGATGAAGAACTTTACAAAGTCTCAACAAAACATTGACAAGAAAGTTCATGAAAATTCAAGAGGTGAGAAAGTGTCATATAAACATCTGTCAAAAACCGCTTTTTAACTTCACTTAAAATGCCACGTAAGCTACGTAAGAATATACGTAAGAGGAAGAGAGCATTGAAACATCCAATAGTAAAACTGACACCACAACAACAGTTGCAACAACAAATTATGAATGACCCCACTATGTTGCAACAAATGTCAAGCAACCCTATGCTTTTAAGCCGAGTTATTGGTGCACAGAGTGGAGGTTTAAGAGCGGCACTTTTAGCGAAAATGGCAGGCTATGGTGGAGCTGCAGACGGAACAGCCTATAACCCTCAAAGTCAAATGAATTTGAGTTCACTCAAAAATCAAATATCAGATGTCAAAAAGTCAAACATAGACATACAGAAGCAAATAAGTGAAAACGAAAAGAAACTAGAATATGACAGACACACAAAGAAACTAAATGAGTTAAACGTAGAGAAAAAGAAGAAAGAAGAACAACTGAAAGAACTAAGTACAGAGGAATATGCAAAAAAAGTGTCAGAAAAAGCAGCAGAAGTAGCAAAAATGGAACAAGATGTCATAAATTTGAAAAACCATACTACTCAATATAAAATACTGAAAGATGAAGAGATAAAACAAAAGCCCTGAAGACATATATGGATAGCGATGAGTATAAAAAAGAAGTTGAAGCAAATGTAAAGGCAGAAAAACTTTTACAGTTGCAAAACCAAACCGTACAGTATGAAAACTTAGCACAAGAAAGTAAAAATAACGACGCGGCTATGCAAAAGGCAATGAAAAGCGCAGAATATATAAAAGCTAACAATGACTGGTTAGATGCCCAAGCCAACGCTAAAGCAGCCCAACTCATAGGGTCAATAAGGACAAAAATACAAGCGGATGAAGACAGTTCAAATGAAGCTTTAACAAATGCTGACTTTAAGAACGCCTTCGAAGCTCTTCATAGTAAGGTGAAACAAGTGAACGATTTCTCATCTGGAAAGAAACTGAAGTCTGAAGGTTTCGACAAAGAGTTAAAAGAAGTAGCACAAAATATGACGAAAATAACAGATGCAGCAACGAGACAGGCAGTTCAAAGTGCCTATGACGCCGTTAGAGCAACTGTTGTGAAAAGTCAAGAAAAAGAGTTACAACAGACCAAAACAGACCTAGTAAATGCTTTCTTAAAAACGAAAAGTCAGGTAGGACATTACGCTGCAGATGGAACATATGTGCCAGCTGGTGGAACTTATATACCACCAAACCCTCCAAGAGAAGCACCTGCACCAGGACTACCTAGAACATTTACATCGTCACATGGACACAGACACAGGCATGCACAACAACCACCTCCACAACCAGCACAACAACCAACAACAACCAGCACAGCAACCAACAGTTCAAAACCCTGCACAACAACAACCACAAACAGAGCAAGGACATAAAAGAAGTAGAGAACAAGGAAACCAAGAATTCTTAAAAATGCTTAAAGAAGAGTGTGGTTTCCCAGATACTGTTGACTTTAGTGACAGATATAAAGAAGCTATTAGAAAGTTCAAGGATGGAAATACTGACCCGAACCTATTTAGCTTTATGGCTCAGCACCAAAACGGATATAATCTCAAACCTGGAAAATACAAGCTCGCTAAGGGATATGATTTAATAGCATATCATCCAAATGACATGGATGAATTTACTCCGAGATATTTGATGTCAGAGCTAAATGACAATTCAACTTTCGTCATGAAACGCGTAAAAAAAGGAGACGGAACGAAAGAACAAAAGCTTATGAATGCGGATGACGTAGATAGGGAAATTGTTAAAAAACGGTCTCGGAATATATGAAATGCCAGCAGATGAGGTACAAGAAACTCCACAGGAAGAACTAGTTCAGATACAACCAGACATGGAAGAAATAGTTCAGCAACAACAGCTAGAAGAGCCTGAAGGAAACGAACAAGTCCTTCCTTTGGAAACTAACTTCACAGAACTAGATGAAGATTTGGAACAGCCGAAAAATCTTGACCCTCAACAAGAGTATGCGGAGAATATGGAATATTTCCAAGAGTCTAAAAAAAATTCGGCTGACATAGTAGAAGAATATCGAAAAATGTTTGCCGACATACAAAAGACTCCAACATCAGATGAAAATATCCAGCATAGAATGGAAGAACTGAAAAAAAATGTACACAAATACAACAACCCTTTTTACTTACGAGCATTTAACGTTCAATCTTCGGATGAACTCGGTGAAAATAAAAGGTTAAATTTCAAGAAAACATATAGAAATGAAACATTGTTTAAAGTTCATTCAGAACCTAACCAAGATGGAAACAAACCTACTTTTGTTTCTGCAGACGATGGAACTACAATGAGATGGGGTCATAAAGCTAATCCGGATAGGTGGTTCATAAACTTACAACCTCAATTCCAAGAAGTTGTAGACGCAATGGAAGCGAATGTGAACGAGATATAGCTGGTATTTTCAGCGCGGCTTTAATGCCATTGAAAGATATGAAACATGCAGATATTTTGGACCAGTATGAAATGAACATGGCTGATGGAAATATAACACCTGACGTTCTAGAACATTTATCTCAAAGAACTACACAGAACCATAGAGATGGTATATTTGGTGAAGAGTTTAGAAAGAAAGTTTAGGGAGAGCGAAGGAAGAGAACCTATTGTACATGACCTTGCAAACGAAAGTTTACAAAATGTCATAAAAACTTACTTTGCAGACAATGAACTGAGAAGGGATGAATATTTAAGAAAACTCAAATGGACAGTACCAAATGAAATGTTAGTATTGAAAAACATGTTCCTTGACAAAATAAAACCAACTACAGAAATAAACGACGCAAGACTGAAAGATTGGGTAAAAGCTTTCCCATTCACAAAAGATATTGTTGGTAACATGGAAAGAAAACCAGAATGGCTACAAAAACATATATTTGGAAACGAGCATATTCCATATGGACAGGCACTGTTTGAAGAGCTTGAACCGGAAACTCAGGAAAGAGTCATGCAAACAATACGCGAAGACTCAAATACAGACTATGACAAACTCTTTCTAGGATATAGGTTACCTGAGATGGGCGACCAGAGCCAAAAGGCAAAAAGGATATGGGAAATTTGCAACATACTAGATGAACATAATGCAAAGATGCAACAACTTCAAGCAGAGGGCAATGAAGGAAAAAGAAGAGTTAAAAACTCAGTCAGGAAGAAAGTAAAGCTTGGTCCACGTGGGTTCTATTATGACATATAAATCCAACTATTCTATATTTTTACTCATATGAAATGTACGCCGCTCAGAATATAACGCCAACAGTTTTGGATGCTATGAATGGAAATGTTTCCGAATGGTATAACGAATGCGACAATGCCATTAGAAGGTCAGAAATAGTTCCTGGAACTTACGAATATACAACTGCTGTTTCTTATGGAAACGTAGGTGAGTTTGGAGAAGGTTCTTCAACAACAGTAGATATTGCTTGCGACAGGTTTCATATAATTTCTATTGACAACTCTTTCTTATACGTGGAACAAGACATTGAAATAAAACCTTCTGCCAAGTTGTCTGACAAGAAAGGTTGCAATGGAATTTTCTATGTCGGATACCAATATGCTCCAGAAGTTTTCATGGGATATAAGATATATTCTAACTCTGACTTAGTTCAAACAGTAACATGGGCAAACTATGAATGGTTCGCTTTGAGAAACTCAGTACAACCACAAGCTAGAGAACAAACAGACCAGTATGCAACCATTGAGAAAATAAGAAGACTTGACCCTAACGTTCCAGGAGTTTATGTTGACCTTTCTGGACAAACTGCAGCAGCAGTAACCAAAGTAAAATTGAAACTTAGAGTTCCTTTGTCATCTTTCCTCATCTTCAGGTTTTTAAGATACTTGCCAAACTGGGCAGGAAAAATTTCTATCGAACTTACTCCAAGCAAAATAACTTAGTCATTGCACCAACACAAGACCCATTCACTCTTACAGACGTAAAGGGAGCAAATCAAACGTCATTCGCCGAATTTTGCAAAGACAAAGTTGACTTAGACTTTGGTTTCTCAAACTTCAACACTGAAGTAAACTATTATTTCAATGCTGCTGGAACTGCTTGGGACCCGGTTAAGTTCACATGCGAAAAATTTGAATGCAAGAGAATAGAAAGCAGACTTGCAGTCTATATGTTGGACCCAGATATTTCAAATGCTTTAGCTGCCAAATATATTGCAGTTCCACTTATGTTCCCTATACACCAAATATCTGTCAAAGACTTTGCAGGTGAAGTTGGAAACCAAAGTGCTGACCCAGGTGCAAGAACAGATATTGCTTTAACAACTGCAATGAAACATGCAGATACTATGTTTGTACTGTTCAGACGAACTATAAATGACTATTCTTGCTTCTACAACCCTGGTATTAAATATCATATAAACATAGATGGCAAATATTATCCAAGAGAAGAATATTCTACAGTTGAGGATATGAGGTCATACAACTTGACATTAGATGCTATGAACTTTAACAACAACTTCACAACAACCATAAACCCTGAAATGCAAAGTTCTATTATGCCATATGTGAAAGTATGGACTCATACAGGAGGTCAAAAAACTCAATATACAAATGGAGACCGTTCAAACTTTTGGCTTGGCATTCCATTTGCTGACTCAGAAGACTTTATGGGTGGTATTTCAACTGTTGGTACAGTTCAAATACAATATACTGGTGACAGAGACGGTCCAGATGAATTGAAAGCAAAGAAGTTTACAAAACCAATAGCACTTTTCACAGAAGATGCTCTTTTGAAAATTCGTTCGATGAAACCTGCTGGGGCTCCTCAGATTGGTATAACGACAGCTTCCATCGAGCAGATTTTGGCAGCAGGTCAGTAAGTTGTTCTTGAACTGACTTCTCTCCGTCAAATATTGACAGTACGCCAGTTTTGATATAATATTGTATTATAAACTTACCTTTAGAAATATCGGTCAGTTTTGTTGTTATATTTTTTGTCAACGTCAAGAACTTTCACCATTCGGTTATACCAACTTTCTTTGCTTTATGAAAATATTTTGGTTCAGCAAAGACTGCTATTCTATAACATTTTCCATTGTTTGTGTAAAAACTATTCTGTCAATGTTTTGTATTGTTTGTGTGTGTAAACTTGTTTTGCTTCAATTCGAAGAGATACTCGAATACGTCCATCTTTTTATTCTAAGTAAAATGTCATTTCCGAAAATAGAAGCGTAAGTGTTTCAAAAGGTTTAATGGCGGTGGCAGATGTGAAGTTAAATTCACCAACTCAAACAAACAGTCAAAGTGTTGTTGTCAATGTCAAAGACAGAGATGTTGAAGTGGGGAAACCATACGAAGACGAAGATGGTATAGCAATTGTTCCTGTAAAAGAACAACCAACATATCCTGAAGTTAGCAGAGACTTAAGTTCTGTTGCAGATATTCGAAACGACTACCAACAACTTAAAGACAAACTTAAAACTCAGGAGAAGATTTGTCAAGCTTTGGGTATAATGTTAAACTTGGTCGAACACAACCCTGTAAAAGTGAACTCATATGTCATTGCACCTCATGAAGTTTTGAAAGAACTATTGAAACTTTTGACAGAGGCAGACGATATAAACATCAAAGAAATAGAACCCGACATTGCTTGCTGTGGTGTTTCATATAATGTCATTGACAAGATATACGTTATGAAAGGAGGTGAAACGTTGAACTTAAAATATAGTTTCCCAGACGTCATAAAAATATTTGACGACCACAACATTTCATTAAAATTTAGTTGCTAAGTAAATGGCAGAAGACACAATGGTTTATACTATTACGACTAAAAACCCTGAGTCATATAATTCTATAACAACAAACTTACAAAGTCCTCAAGGACGATATTGTAAACTAACTTTAAACACAATGACGACTAAAGCCTGTTTTGCTCTTTTGACACCAGAAGACTTTATTGTTGTGAATGGTAAAAAATACTCCTTTGAAGATACTTACTCAGATATACCACCAACAGGTTTTGTTGACTTATTTAATACTTTAAGGACGGATGTAACATGTGCTGCAACTAGAGCAGGTTTCATTATGTTTGGATGTCCGACTGAGTTTAGTATAAACGATATGAGCTATAATACAAAACTTATATCTGGTTTTTACTACCAACAGTTTCCTATAACAGGAAAAGGTGTCATACAAGGAATGTCTATTCCATTGACATTAAGTACACCTATTTTATATATTGTTTCAAACTTAGGTTCAAAGTGCTATTCGAATGTCGACAGAAACTACTATGACCAAAAGATACTCATGCGTATAAACAACACTTTCTCTGCTGGTTTGCCTATTGTTCATTCGAATGCAGAATTTTCAACCTTAGTGAACTCAAACACTTTGGCAAGTATAACGTTGACATTAGTTGACGCAAACTTTGTTCCTGTAAAACTTTTATGTCCTATGTATTTGTCAATGACGGCAGAAAGTTTCGAATTGGAAGATGCAACTGGTGAAAGTATTGTATTACAAGAACAACTTCAACAACAAATAGCTCAAGAACAACAAATGCAACAAATGGAACAACAAAGTCAAGAATAAAAAAAAATATTTTTTTTATTTTTATAAAAATGTACAGAATAGATGTTTCAGATTTTTATGACTTCCAAGCATTCAGAAATATGTGTCCATTTAGAGACTATAACAAAGCAGTCGAGAATTTGAAACGTTTAGTCATTTATGTTGACTCTGCCCCAGAATGTTATGTCATGAAAGAATGGGATGTTGTCTTTAACAAACCAAGAGCAACAATAGTTTCAGAACAAGAATGTAGACAGAAACTTAAGAAAATAAAAGTCGTACAGGTTGGTATGAAGATGTTAGATGCTTGGGATATCTTATTGTCAAAGTTAGAAGATTTTTCAGTTCGAGGTATAAAGTTCTATACACCATCTCCAAACTTCTATTCTATCTTCACTGGATATAAATACGAACAAGTAGAATGGAAAGAAAATATTATAGAAGCTTGGTTAGACCATGTCAAAGAAATTATATGCAATGGAAACGAAAAGGTTTATGAGTATATCTTATGTTGGTTTGCAAACATCTTACAACATCCAAGTGCTAAAAATGAAACTGCTCTCATTATAATTGGAAAACAAGGAACTGGTAAGAACACATTCTTTACAGATATTTTGTGCAAACTGTTAGAAGGTTATTCGAATCCGAATATGACAAACTTAGAAAACATCTGTGGCAAGTTTAACTCCTCAATAGAGAATATGAAACTTATAGTATGTAACGAACTTCAAAGTATAGATACAACAAAAGTTTTGAACTCAGATGCTTTGAAGAGTCTTATAACAGACAAAGTTGGAGTTGTTGAAAGAAAATATAAAGACCAAAGAGTTTGTGAAAATGTTGCAAACTTCATTATGGTTTCAAACAATGCTGTTCCGATGAAGTTAGAAAGTTCTGACAGAAGATATGTAGTTGTCAGAACGTCAGAAGCTCATATGCAAGATACAGAATATTTTGACGCTTTGTCAGAATGTTTGACATCTGACTTTTACAACCACTTGTTCTCATATTTCATGACATTAGATATTTCTAAGTTCAATCCAAGACAAATTCCACATACCGAAGAAAGACAAACATTGTTAGAAGCAAACAAGAGTGTTTATGAACTGTTTATAGATGAGACTAACTTTGAGTGTTTGGATGAAAGGTCATTGTACGATGAATATAAACAATATTGCCAAGAGTATGGTTATATGACAGCGTCTAAACGAACATTCTTGGCAAATGTCAAAAATCTTTTAGATGTTCAGAACGGCGTATATACAAAGAAAAATTTTTCTGAGTAAATTTTATAAAAAAATATTTTTTTATTTTATTTGAAATGTACGCTGAGTTTGTTGGAGAAGACCGTTGGGAAACTTGTTTGTTAGATGAGAAATATGAAATTCACTGTTGTGAGTCATTTGAAGTCAGAAACAAAAAGACAAAAAGAGTTTTAAGCGAATGGGAGCAAAATAACGGATATGCTAGGATGAGGATTGGTGGAAAACGCTATCTTAAACATGTTGTCATTGCAACTCATTTTATACCGAACCCTAACAATCTACCTTTTGTAGACCATATAAACCGTATAAGAAATGACAATAGACTTGAAAATTTACGTTGGGTTACTCGTTCTGAAAACAATAAGAACAAAAGCAAATTTAGAGATATTGTATTCGAATTTGTCGACGAACTAGAAGATGAAGCAATTGAAATTACAGACTATGGCAAGCATACGTTGGAGTTTTACTACTATAGCGAAGAACAAGACTCTTTCTACTTTTATACCGGCGTAAACTATAGAAAATTACAAGTATGTTTTACTAAGGAAGACTATGCTTTTGTAAACGCTAGAGATACAGATGGAAAATGCGTTAAAATACTTCTTAACAAATTCAAGAAGCTATATGGCATACCATTTTAAAACGTTTTTTAAAAAAATATTTTTTTTATCCGATAGAAAAGATGATGAAATTCATCTCAGTAAACAAGTACATGACAGAAGTCAAAGAAGAACTAGACCCATTCATATATTTGAATGTTTACTTCTACCATTTTGAAAAGTCTTCATTCAGCAAAGTTTGGAACATCGAACCCGTTAAGTTTGCTATTGTGACTAAAAATGGTGCGAAATTTGAAGACTTAGACATAGAAGGTTTGTTAGCAGTCAAAGAAAATTTTGACAGAAGGTTCTCAAACCTTAAAGAAGGCAAAGCATACAAACTTGTTATACCTTATGAACCAAAGAAAGCAGACGACTATGAATATTATGAGTCTAAGATAGTTGAAGTTCAAGGTAAGTTGGGTAAAAAGATTTTAGAGTCTAAGCCAGTGTTTGCTCCTAAAGAGGAAGAGAACATTGACATTGACCCAGAAATGTTCTAAAAATAAAATTTTATTTTTACATGTCATATCTCACCTTCTCTGGAACTGGCTCTGGTTCTTTCTTCTCTTCTTCTACTTTCTTTTCTTTCTTTTCTCTCTTCTTCTTCTTCTCTGGTGGAGTTATGTCAAACTTCTCAGAACCATATTTTTGTAAAAGGTCTTTGTCCTTTAATAGCTCTTCTATTCTGTTTTCTATTTCATCTTCAAGAACAGCGCATGTGCCTTCTTTGCATTCTAAGAACTTTTGTTGGACTTCATCTTTCCAAGAGGCGTCATCTCTGTCAACAAGTCTGTCATTGACAAACTTAAAGACTTCTCTGCCTAATGTTTTATGGTTCTTGTCATATTCCCAGAAACAGAACTTTAGAACAAATTCACCTTTCTTGTTTACACTATGTAAGATTTTATGGTCGACAGATGTTTTGCTGTCAAAAAGTTTGTCTCGAATATAGATAGCGAAATCGCTAGACATTTTCTAAAAGATAAAATTTTTAATTTTTCTAAAAATATGTTAGAAAAAAAGTTTGCTGACATTGACAAGAAATTTGAGAATGTTTTAAACAAGAACAAGAGGAAGTTAGAAAATGCTCAGATAAAACCTATACATGACAAGTTCTTATTTGCTCAGAATGGTATAACAGGTCTAATTGCACCACCTGGGTCGGGTAAGACTTTCACTTATCTTAAAATGGCTGCACAACAACAAGAACTAGATGAGAAGAACCCATTCTATGAGTTAGTAGTCATTTGTAGTACTTCTGGTCAATTCGATCAAACCGTAAATTCGTTCAAAGATATTATAAAAAAGTCTAAGTTAGTATGTATAAAGGATACTGAGTTGTTAGATTGGATAAAGAAGTACCAAAGAAGGGTTTTGAAGTACAATGCTATAAATGAGTATATAAATTCTAAGTTCAAAGACCCAAATGAGGAAATGCAGAGAATATTAGAGAAGAAACACTTCCGAAACAAACAGAAAGAGATAGAATACATTTCGAAGAAATTGCAATCTTACGATTGGAAGACTTACCCTCATAGATGTCTTCTTATCTTAGATGACTTTGCTTCTCATCCTTTGTTAAAGAACAGAGAACAAGACATGTGTCGAATTCTTAAGAAGCTCAGACACTTTAACATCTCTGTTGTCATTTGTGTACAGACAGCCAAGAGTTTAAGTAAGGATGTAAAGAGAATACTTACTGATATCATACTTTTCCCCGGATTGTCCGAAGACGATTTCATGGAACTTATGAAAGAGTCCATGGCAGGTAAGTTTGACAGACATGAACTATGGGAGAAGTACAAAGTCATACAAGACCCTCATACTTCTTTCAGAATTCACATCTACGCGAACAAAGTTCAAATTGTAAAAAGTCAAGCTTGAAAAATCTAAGTGTTTAGTCTTAGTAAGTCTGTCGGATGGAAGAGTTCTTCCTGTCGGATGGAAGAGTTCTTCCTGTTGTCGGGAAGAGTTCTTCCTGTCGGATGCAAGAGTTCTTCCAGTTGTCGGGAAAATATTTTTCTGTCGGATGGAAAAACTTTTTCTGAAGTTCGACCAAAAAGTTCTCAATTTTCGAAAATTTGAATGGTTTACGGACGAACAACTGGAAAAATTTTTCCAGTTGTCAAGAAAATATTTTCCTGTCTGATGGAAGAGTTCTTCCAGTTGTCGGGAAAAACTTTTTCTGTCGGATGCAAGAGTTCTTCCTGTCGGATGCAAGAGTTCTTCCTGTTGTCGGGAAAAACTTTTTCTGTCGGATGCAAGAGTTCTTCCTGTCGGAAGGATTTGACAAGACAATTTACCTTATAGAGCTACCTGAGCCATCTGAAGTCAAGACCAAAAATAAATGGTTCATTTACTCTGCTTGTTTGAAGTTGTCAAAATACTCTGTTATTTTTTCTTTCAGTAGCGGTAAGTCTTCTTTGAAGGTAAGTATTGTACAACCTTTAATATCATAGTGTGTTTGAGGTAACGTATCTTGAACTATTTGTTTCACATCTTCATTTGGTGTCATTGAAATCGGTAAGTTTTCGCGATAGAACCAATTTCTGTCAGATTTGTAAATCTTAGCAAGGTCGTAAAAGCTTTTGTTGTTTCTTCTGACTAAATGCAACATAACCATATCTCTGTCTTCTTCATTTTCCATCTCTTCAGTATAAATCATATACTTATAGTTCTTTTCCTTTCCTTTTGGTACCGAACGTGGTATTCTTTTCTGTATGTTTTTGTCTTTTGCTTCAATGACTTCATTTTTTGCTTGAAGTTTCTTTTCCATCTCTTCACGTTCTTGTCTATGAATTTCATCTAACATCATGAAAATATAACAAGCGTAACGAGGCGAAGCCCACATTGCAACAGCATTTACAAGAAGTCTATGTACATACCAACCTCTCAAACCATTTGGCAAATTTTGACGATTTTCGTACGGAATCTCGACCCGCGGTTTTCCGCGGGTCGCAAACATATGAGGAAATTCTTCTAAAAGTTCTTTTGTCTGTTGGTTTTCAAACCAATGATGTGCTTGCTTTGTAGAACGAAGAGCATTGAAAATACTTTGCATTTGGTACATGTCATCTTTGACCGAACGAATGAGACGTAACTGTTTGTTATACTGTATGTACTCGTATTCTTCATCTATGGCTTCATGGACTATAACTGTTGTTGTGTTCTCTGTTGTTGACATATCTGTCTTTACATTCCGGATAAAAAAATATTTTATAAAAAACTAGCGTTATTTTTTTTAAGTTTGGTCATCCTTCACTATATGACAAATATACTATATTTTACTTAAAAATATGCAAGCGGCTCATAGCTCAGTGGTATGGGCTACCTCGCTACAGGCGTCGAAGACCTCGGTTCAAATCCCGATTCGCGCAGGTTTTTTCCTTTTATGCAGTGAAATTTCATGTACATAGGTTACTTTGGTGTTAGACCCTAGTGAAGAAAATAGAACGATATAAGTTTACATTTGTAAGGTTGGACGATAAAATTTACTGACTGACGTCGGACATTGTCTTGAAAAAGTAAAAGACTTGTCTTGAAAAAGTAAAAGACTTGTCTTGAAAAAGTAAAAGACTCGTCTTGAAAAAGTAAAAGACTTGTCTTGAAAAAGTAAAAGACTTGTCTTGAAAAAGTAAAAGACTTGTCTTGAAAAAGTACGGGTATCGTCTGAAATCAAGACCACTGTTCTCAAATTTGAGAACTTTACACCAAAAAATTTCTTGAAAAAGTAAAAGACTTGTCTTGAAAAAGTAAAAGACTTGTCTTGAAAAAGTAAAAGACTTGTCTTGAAAAAGTAAAAGACTTGTCTTGAAAAAGTAAAAGACTTGTCTTGAAAAAGTAAAAGACTTGTCTTGAAAAAGTAAAAGACTTGTCTTGAAAAAGTAAAGACTTGTCTTGAAAAAGTAAAAGACTCGTCTTGAAAAAGTAAAAGACTTGTCTTGAAAAAGTAAAAGACTCGTCTTGAAACAATGACCGACATAGACCCAGCAGATGAGGCAATCTACCTTATAGAGATAAATGAGCTAGTTAGGAACTACCTGAGCCATCTGAAGTCAAGCGTAAAATAAACGCTTTACATGTATTTTTCAGCAACTTCGTCAAATAATTTTATAGCTTTATCTATCTCATCTACTTCAAACGTTTCTTTACCTTTTATGGGAGCACCATACATTTTCTCAAACTTTTCAAGTAGTTCTGTTTCAGCAGCTCTCATATCGTTAACGAACACAACCTTAACTCTATTGACTGTATTGTCATATCTTTGAGTTATATTATATGTTTCTTCCTATCTTATATCTCTTTGTATTGAAGTCCTTCGGTTTGAACGATGTAAAGTAAGCCTTCACTGCAACGTTCTGAGTCGAACGAACCATATGTTATGAAGTTATATCCAACAACTGGGTCAATCCAGAACAAAACTACTGGTATAAGACTTTTGTCGATGAGATATGCTCTTGTTCCATAGAATCTTACCGATATCATAAGCTCAGGATTTCTTGTCAAAATTTTCTGAGTAGAAGCATTTTTAACCCAGTCGTGTGCTTTCTTTCCTTCAGATAGTGTTAAAATGTCTGACAAAGAATATTTCTTGTATTTCTTTGAGTATCTTACGTTTAAATCACCTATTCTAACCACTTTGGTCTCATTGTCTATCTTTTTAACTGTTTCAAACTCAATGTTTAACATTTCTGTTCTTACATACAAAATAAAAAAAATATTTTATAAAAAACTAGCGTTAATTTTATTTTTTCTATCTTAAGGAAATTCATGAAATTTGGTCATTTTTCAATAAAAATATATTTTAGGGTAGAAGGGTATATCTAACCTCCTTTCTACCCTCTTTTCTACCCCAGTTATTTTATAAGCGTTTTACATGGTAAACATTGTGAATTCGTGAAATTCTAAACAATTTCGTAGCTTCTATTTCTTCTGTCAGTACATCGAATGTTTTAACTATGCCGAATGTTTCTTTATATTTCTTCTTGACATCAGATAGAAGGAAATCTTCTGCTGTTGGATAGTTTTTGTTTAGAAATGTCAACATGTCCATTTTATCTTCTGCTGGTTTCTCTGCCTCCCTCTTTAAGTCAGCATAGTCGTTTCTCATACGTTCTATCTCTTTGACGGAGTAGTTATATTTCCTAATTGCTGCCTTACATTTAGAACATTGTGGGTTCATTTTTGCGTTATATTCTGAAACCTTACCTGCTAGTATGACTAAGGCGTCAATGGTTTTCTTTAACTCAAAAGTTGCTGGTTTTATCTGTTCGTTCCATATCTTACCTCTTCTATCTTTATCTCTTATCTGCCATACACATTCAGCAACTAACGAACAAAGTTGTCGTAGGTCTTAAACTCCCCAGATTTGTATATGTCAGAGATGTTCTTATATACCATATCGCAATCTTTGTCCATGACTTTGTGGTTGCAATGAAATCCAAGAAACTCATAGTTAACCTTTCGTATGAACTTCTTTATTTCTACTGAGTCAGTTGCTTTGACTTCTATTTCATCGAATTCTGGAATAGTAAGCTTTTGTTGTTGTATTTCAGGAAGTTTAGGTAGATGGTCAATAATATCCTGCATTTCTAAAGATATTCTTCATTTTGTTCATCTTTCGCACAACAGTCCAAAGTACTTGTTAAAAGTTCCTGCTTTATCTTCTGGATTTCTGTTTCAAAAGTATATGAAGAAGGAATGAAGCTTTTCATTTCTACTAACATTGAAGTTGGGTTCATGACTAACGAGTTTTGGTGCTGTTGTTGCTAACATGTTCTTACAATAAAAATAAAAAAATATTTTTTTAAAAAAACCAACTTTATTTTTTATTTCGGGAAAACTCATGACAAATTCAAGAGGGTAGAAAAGAGGTTAGAAAAGAGGTTATATCTAACCTTCTACCCTAAAATATATTTTTGCCGAATTCATGAGTTTTGGTTGAAAGAATACGGTGGAGCCAAAAGTGGCTCGACCTCAAAACAAGCATTTACGATGAAATTCATGAAAATTCATGAGGGTAGAAAAGAGGGTAGAAGACAGGTTATATCTAACCTTCTACCCTAAAATATATTTTTGTCGAAATAAAATGGTTCATTTACTCACAATATTTTTGTACAAAACGACCCCAAACTTTTAACTTCTTTTCTGCAGCTTCTAATGAAATTTTAGCGAGTTCATATTCTCTAAATTCTCTCTTTAAATCTTCTGTTCCATTGGTCTAGTTCGTATGGAGAGTCTCTATAACCAGAACATATCTCACGTTCATGTTCTATTTGTTTTTCATGCATTTTTCTAACTTCTTCTTCAAACAAAGGTTTTGCATTCTCTACTGTATCTTCAAGTTCTTCTTCATCTAACTTCTCATGAACTTTCTTGTCTATGGAGTCCATAATTTTTCCAACTGCTATACAATATTTTGGAGAAGCCCACATTGCAATATAGTTTACGAGTCTTGGGTCTACATACATTCCTCTAACCTGTTTGATTCATCGGGAATTCCTGCATTAACATTGTATAAAAAGCAACCCGCGGAATTCCGCGGGTGGTATATTCTTCAAAATGCTTTTTTGAGGTCGAGCCATTTTTGGCTCCACCTCTTTTTTCAATACTTTTTCAGCACTTCTCCGTAGTTATATATGAAAGACAATTCGAGATAAAAGTCGTAGTACAATGGAACAATATGTTGCACACCATTTGTTGTGAACCAAACTTGAAAGTCAGAGAAACTGTTACTAGGTGGTTCGTAGAATTTAGAAGCAAAGTCATAAAAGTCCTTACCAATACATAGAAAACTATTGTTGCTTGAACTGAAACTTGCATGACACATAACATTTTGAGGGTCAAACACGTTTCTATAAACTGTCAAATCTGCTGTGGAAGTATAAATTTAAATGGACCATCTGGTGGTAATGTTCGTTCTGGTTTAGTAACCGAAGAAATTGTGCCCAAGAACGTTTGTCTACTTTCCAATAAAAAACTCTGTATCTCTTGGAGGGTTAATTTCAATCTTTTGAAATGAAACGGTGGAGTTCATCTTGTCATATTCTAGTTTCAGATAGTATGTTCCATTTAGTAAAGAGTCGTATTTTTCTTGAAATTCCCAATAATATTTGTTCATTTGAGTTGAAAGTCATTTAGAGTTTTCTCAAGACTTTCGTCTGAACGAACTGTAAAGATTCTCATTTCGTCAAATTTGTCTATTAGACCATCAGAACCTTTATACTGCCCATGAAAATATACTGCGAACATAAATGCGTTATCTTTTTGAAAACAAAACTTTTCTAAATCCTATTGCCTTTGCATCTGAAGGACTTTGAAGCCAACGAATTGGATAATCAAACCTGTATGTCGGATGAAATTTCTTCATCTGAAATAGTCCTACCAGCATTTGTAAAGATATAGTCTAACGGTTTTTGTATCTGCTACTTTTTTCTTTGTTTTTCAACCTGAAGCATTTAATATATGAAAATATATTGTTTTAAAATGGTATGCCATTTCATATTTCTCATCTAACAAACAAGTTTCCCAACGGTCTTCTCCAACAAACTCAGCGTACATTTCAAATAAAAATTTTTTATTTCATGCAATGTTTTATTCTTTGTGCGTCTTCAAGTATCGCCCCAGTACTTACGCTTGGAGAGGACATGAACTTCAGAAAATACCTTATCTAGCTTAAAACAGCCCATCTTTTCACGACCATGCCCATTTCAATGAGTTGTTGTATCCTTCTTCGTTCGTCATGAGTGCGTCAATGTTCTCATAGTAAACCTTCAC